GCCTTACGATACATGGTCGTTTTTTTCGGCTCAAAACGCCTTACTATACATGGTCGTTTTTTTCGGCTAAAAACGCCTTACTATACATGGTCGTTTTTTCGGGCTAAAAACACCTCACTATACATGGTCGTTTTTTTCGGCTCAAAACGCCTTATATACATGGTCGTTTTTTTCGGGCTAAAAACGCCTTACTATACATGGTCGTTTTTTCGGGCTAAAAATGCCTTTCTATACATGGTCGTTTTTTTCGGCTAAAAACACCTTACTATAAATGGTCGTTTTTTTTTTCCAGTTAAAAACGCCTTGCACTGACTTGCTTGGCATTTGCACGGAAATCAAACAAACTGTATTAATTTTATTTTCTATACTTTTCCAGGCTGCGTTTTATTGAACTCTGTTTGTTGCCCAGACAAGCGGCATGTTATGCACTTTCTTTTTTTTTGTTTTTTTGAATCCTCAAATTAAAAATGACATCAAAAAGTTCATTTCTATCTTGCATTTCTTTAATTTCATCAAAGCAATGAAACATAATTCATTCACGCACACACGGACACACACACACACACTCAAAAAATCACTTTTATCTATTTGTGATTGAAGGGTTTTATTTGACACATTTACACAATATGCGTGTCCCAGAATGAGAAAAGCTACAATTCAGGATGAATGATCTCCTTTGACGTCCCGTATTGCTGCGATCCAAGATAATGTAAGTGGTAGATCATGGAAAAAGGTCACTGTCGTTATTCTCATTCGTTTCCATTTATGCACTAGATTTCTTCAATGAGTGACCGTCCCTCTCAACACCTGTTCACTGCATTTTTTCCAAAACAGGACATTTTTATCTGTTCAGAAATCCATTGAAATAAAACGCAAAGAATACATGCATCGATAATGGTCCCTTTTCCTTTCTCATAACTGCCTGCCACAAGACAAGGTTAGATTCCAAAAATGCCCACCCTGACGGCAGTTCAGTAAAGCAATGCCCCTGGCCACTAGTTGCATTTATACAGTACAATAAATCATTTCTTTTTGTGACGTGATTAGATTAGGTCATACATTTTGCTCAACGGAGCATCATGACTTCTATCGTGGCTTATATCTGACAGTGAACAGTTTTGGTGCTCTCAGGTTCTGATCACATTTGTCACCTCCCAATGCATGAACATATTCTACAGCACCAGGCGTGGCATCACGATTTATTCACACTGCATGTGTGTGTGTGTGTGTGTGTGTGTGTGTGTGTGTGTGTGTGTGCTCGTGCGAGCGCGACAAGACCGTTTAAATGGGCTCCACTTGAGGCTCGGTAGGTGGTGTAGCGATGTCTTCCACCAGATCAGAGTCGGGTTCGGTCACCACCACGGCCACCTGCTCACATGCCAACAGTCGTTTTCGTGTGTGTGTGTGTGTGTGTGTGTGTGTGTGTGTGTGTGTGCGTGCGTGTGCGTGTGTGGTACCTGGGATGCAGAGCGCTCTGTTGCAGCTGGGGGAGCTACCCGCACAGCCTGAACTGCGGGCGATGGTGGGGGGCGGGTCTGTGGGTAGCGAGGTCGCTCACTCGGAGCCTAAACGACCAGAAAAATGAAAAATACCAATTGGGACGGTGAGAGGGGTTTGGCGATTCCTAAAAGTGAAAGTGTGCAACAAAAGAGGACATCTGAAGGGAAGGTCACGACCTGAGTCCTGCGCGCGGCCAGCACAGTGAGACCGAAGAGCATGGCGGTGATGCAGATCAGCAGTTCCAGCACCAGGAAGACCACCAGCGTTCCCAGGATGCCGTCAATCAGCATCTAAACGGTGCAAGACGCGCTCATTTAGCACAAACGCTAAAACGTTGCACAGAGGCCCAATGCGTTGGGGGAAATAAAAATGGACGATGGCTGTCCGCTTACTTTGCACTTTTGCTCGATCAGCTCGGTGCATTTCCTGAAACAATGTAGCTGCGAAGACAAAACATCAAAAAGTCGGCTTGAGGCCACTAATGGATAGCCACGGTTAGCATGTTAGCATTTGAGCCGCTTGATTTTTGCTACGATACTGGTGCATTAAAGTGCATCCTCAAATCCTCACCACTTGCCTCAATCAATCAATCCTCTGCCGTCGTCATCGTCTTCTATCTTTTCGCAGTTGGCAATCAACATACGATAGTCTCAACTCTTGACAGAGTGAGAATACGTAGGAAAGAATCCTTTCAAATGTGTTCTGAAATTTCAGGCTAAACAGGGGTTCACGGCATACACCTTTCCTTCCGTCTCGCAAACACATTGTTTCAGTCTTGCACACGACAAGACTCGAATTAAGCGACCGGGACGAACGGAACACTCAACCAGGTACGGCCGCACGATTTACCAAGATGAAATACGAGCGCTGGCATTACCACGGCATGGTACTCCAGCCGGCGGCAGTGTTCGCAGTGGTACGAGTCCTGCCTGTACGGGAGGTGCTTGGACATGAGCCCCAGGGCGGCGGTGGCGAAGGCGGCGCTGATCAGATGAAGAACCAGGGTGCATTTGACCTGCAAAAGCACCAGAAACAAACAATGTGGCACTCCGTTTCGCCAGCAATAGTCAAAGAACTGCAGAGTCAAACATTTCAAAATAAATACAATGCATAAATAATACTATTTTTTTTTTTTGCATGTAGATGGATTGGCCAAATGCATACAATTTTTGAATTTAGGCTGGCAAGCGGTTCAGGGTGTCCCCCAGCCGACTGCCTAAAGACGGCTAGGATAGTCTCCGGCACCCCCCGCGACCTTTGTGAGGAGAAGCGGATCGGAAAATGGAAGGATGGATGGATGAAATTGCATTTTCTATTTCAGCCCAAAAAATGGACATTGAAAACTGAATAAAAATAAAGTTGTTCAATTGGCTTCGAAAAAAAAATTAACATGTGTAAATCTGTAATGGCTGCATCTATCTTTAGACTTAGTGAAGCACTATGTAGCTCACTGGCCAAAGAAATGAAACCATTTTATTTTTAAATGCACTTTCCAATTGAAGAACAAATATGAATTGAAAATTAAAAAATGTATTCTCTGCACATTTATAAAATTCAGGAGAAAAAAAACAAAAATAAATCAATCAAAATGACTTTGAACAAATTACATTTTCAAATCCACTCACGCAACACAAAGAATGCATCAATAATAGCGCTGCGTGAATGAATGCCTTCGTCTTTTTCAACTTGATGAAGCAGCACGTGGCTCCTTGCCTTCAATTATTTCACACACACAACTGGAAAGGGTCGTGGACGCGCACTCACCCAAAAGAGAGTGGGCCTCCTCCCACTGTGGATCAACACCGACCCGGATAAGATGACCTGGTAGAAGGAAGTGAAGGATGTCGGGGTCAGACGGACGCTAAACATGAGCGCGTGCCATACGTCGCCCACCTGAATGACCACAACGAGGAAGAGCGCAACGTCGGCCGTGAAGTGGATCTCATGGACCCGCAGCACGGACATGCTCAGGCACAGCAGCAACACGGCGATGACCAGCTGGATGGCCTGAAAAAGACAAGGCGGCCGCTATCGTTTCGCAAACCGAAAAAGCATTTTGTCGAGGATCATCAGGCTTCCCGAAAAAAGCGCCATTCCAACGAGGGTTGACATCAATCACCTTGCTATGGTGTTCTCGGCACTCAAGTTGCTATCTTGGTACATGTTAGCATGTCAACTGTTAGCATGTTAGCATTTCACGTGATCTTATTAGCTTTTTGCGATAGCTCCATGACTACGGGGCGTGTTCAATGTCCTTACAACGTTCCTTGTTGCTTCTTGCACTCAAGTTACTTTTTTTTTTAATTTTTTGAAGGCCAAATGTCAGCATTTTATTTGGTTACATTCCTATGAGGGTCGACAGGGTAAAATGGTGGTCCTCTTTTGGACTTAACTGGATGTGGCCATTTTGATTCAGATTTTTTTTTTTTTAGTACAAAAATCTGATGGATGTGTTTTTGTGCTTTTGTTAAGTTTTCTGTGCTCAAGTGATTCAATTTTAGACTGGTAGCATGTTAACCTTTGATCCGGTCTCACTCGCCTTTTGAAATAGTACCAGAGAAGAGGACATGATGTCAAATTGCTTTGGAGCGGTCTGAGAGCTTTCTTTCATCAGGTTTTAATTCATTTTATCATACGCCCTCATAGCATGTTGGCATTTTCTTTGGTCTCATCAGGCTTTTGAAACGTTAGCATCTTATTTGACCTTATTGCTTCTTCAAAACAGTCCATTTTTTTACGATTGGCTCGTCATAGTCTGCTGATATTTTGGTTAAATTCAGTCTACCGACTGTTTTATCTGATGTAATGAAGCATTCGGAATTGGTACGTGACTACGAGGACTACTAATAGTCAAAGGCAACCTTTTTCCCCTTATCTTACGATGTTAGCTTCCCAACTGTTAGCATTTTATCCAGTTTTACTAGCCTTTTGAAATCCCAACTGACAATAGGACATGCCTCCAGTCTTACTTCTGTCAGTAGTCAAGGTACTTTTTTTTTTTTTTTTTTTACCAGATACACAGCACGGCAGCATTTTTAGCTTGTCCAAGTAGGATCTTAAAATGGTCCCCCACCCCCAAAGTCTTTGGCTCCATCTTGAAGTGGGACTGAAGCTGGCCAGGGCTCAGCGTCCCCGGCGGGGGCATCGGGTCCTTTGGGTCGCTCTGGGCCATGGCGCAGCCTTTGAGATCGGGCGCAAACAAACCAAAGTTGCGGGTCAGTTAGTGATGGCGACCACGATGCAGTCGTGACACATACATTTGTACGATTTTAGGGAACGCATTTCAGTCGTCAGTGTGGGCGAGCGCTTCTGATCGCGGGCAGAGGTCGTCCCCACGTCCTCTGACTCAGACTTGAGACAGAGGCCTCTTAAAGGGACAGGTGCCGAGCCAAAACATTTGGCACAGCATCCATCTGCCTCCCTCCTCTTGTTCAAAGCAGCTTTCGAGAACGTGCAGTGAAAGTGCAGATGATGGTTTGCATTGTTCACCAAATGCCACCGTCGTCGACAATTAAATCAAACATCTATCATTGCTGTGGATTTTTTTTTATTTTTTTAAAGGCACACCGCAGCAAAGTCGGATGCGGCTAGCTGCACCAAGACTTGGCTGTGGTCTTGGGGGACATTGATCAAAGACATCTAGCCCTCCTGCATCTCGTCAGGAAAACACACACACATATTATTTATAAACCGATATATATATTGGATCCAAGAAAAAAATTTTTTTACCTGTGCTGAGTCACTGAGGAACCGCCTCTCGGTCAGGACGCCGTAGCTGTGCAAGCCAGCTGCTCAAATAAGAGTGCGAGTGTGTGTGTGTGTGTGTGTGTGTGATTGCACTGCAGCAATGGGCCACTGCAGACTTTTTGCAGACTTGCAGTCCAGGATGGGAGGAAGGAGGGAGGGAGGTGAGGGGAGGGTATGCACTTCAGTGATGTCATCGCATGATGACGTTGCAAATGATTTATTGATGGTTCTCTTTTTAGTTTTTGGGCATTAAAAAAAAAAAAAAAAAAAAAAAACGTAACACTGATGAGGTGATGATTGTTCTGATTGTACGACTGCTGCACTGAGGCACCATAAATGAAAATGGTCACACAAACGTGGTATTTTATTTCCGGTATTCCTTTTTAAATGAGCTGGGAAATGGAATTAAAAAAAAAATAAACAATAACGACCGGATTTCTTACGCAGTTGGTGACTCATTTTCCAATGTGTTGACTATCGACTTGATCACGTCTGTACCTTCACAGTCTTTCTCTAAGGTGCATGTAACATGGAAATGTGATTTACTCGGTACACCCGCACAAATCTAATGAGGCTAAATCACAAGTGACATTGAAAAGCATCCATTCACGTAACACAACATTTATGACGAGAGTGGTTGGATTTCGGCATCTGAATTTTCGCGGACACTTTTTCTTAGCGACAGCGGATTCGGTCCGGATGTGAAAGTCGACCATTCCACCCGCCGGACAGCGATCAAAGGGGAGTCAAACGGTCGTCCCCGGATGAGTGAAAACAACTTCCTGTATTTGGTCCTGGTTTCACACAGCACATGAGGACCACGTTGACATTTCACATTCAAAATGAACACAGCAAATGGTTCAGTAGTCACATTACGACAAGGTCCAAGTGTTGCGGTGTCGCCAAGGCACGTTCACGGAGCAGAAATGCCATCCGACAACACGCCACCGCTTAGTAGAAACATCAGACAAAAGAGGTCCATAAAGTTGGCGAGGTGACCAAATTGTGCAGAAGCCGACTCAAACCAAAGGACTGTATGCAGAGCGGTCACGTGGCATCAAATGCTGACTGGCAGCATCGGGTAAAGTACAAACGTTGTCCGACTCAAGACGCCTGCCACGAAGGAGTGTTTGGGCCACGCACAATTGGGCGAGAGCAACGTGGCTCTCGGAAAACAATGATTCCATTCTTGTCACATTACGACTTTGTTCTAGTACCGTAAAATATTGTTTGGGTCAAATTAAAACGTATTCATCGTAGGAATAGGACTTGGAGCTTTGGCCTTTTTTTCCCTTGGCACATGACAAATGAATCACTTTTGAAGCAACTTTCATCATATTCGGACTTCATTTCTGCCATATTATGAATTTATTTGGGTGTCACTTTCCCCCCCATAACATTAAGAAATGATTCCGTTTCTCATAATATTAAGCTTGACTCTCAGAACATGATTTTTTTTCCCATTCACTTCATCTTAACAGTTTTTGTTTTGTTTTCACATAACTTTTCGGAACTTTGACCTTCTTCTATCACGTTTTGGCTCCGTTGTTCTATTCAGCGTGGTCCAAATACTCTCGGGCGGCATGTTTCGCCATTTGAAGTCACGCAATAACGTCGTCTTCCCTACCTGGAGCGCCGTGTTCAGATGGGCGTGTTGGGCAAGTGCCCGTTGGAGGCGGCGTCGAGCGCGCCCCGGACATGTCCGTTGCGCTTGCTCTCCTCCGGCCCCGACCGGAGGGCGTCGTGCTCCGCGGAGTTCCGTCCGTGAACATCCGCCCGCTGCGGGACGGTGCGGCTGCGCCACCGCTGTTTGACGGCGTAGAGGAGGACGGCGAGTAGCGCGCTCAGGCAAAGCACCAAGAGGACTGACACGGCCACCAGCTCCTTGAAATAGGAAGGGGTCTGCGCCGCGAGAAGCGGGTCCCCGTCTCGGAAGGCCGCCTCTTTGGGTGCCGCTTTCACCATCCATAAGGTGAAGTTGGGGCCCGGCGCGGCGTCGGGTCCCGGGGGGCCGGGCGGCGGGGCGCTCTTCTGCTTGACGTGGTACACGGCCACGGTCTGCCGGAAGCCGTTCTCGGCGGACAGGCACAGGTAGTGGCCCAGGGTGGCGGGCGTGGCCACGAAGCTCAGGCTGCCGTCGTCCAGGTGCAAGAAGAGTTCCGGGGACAGCCGGCTGTTGGGGCGCTCCCACCACTGGCGGGAGAGCCGCGACGCCGCGGGGCACGGGAGCCGCACCACCTCGTGCAGGGACACCGGCAGCGGCTCGCCTGCGGGACAAACAGCGAGCTGAGACGGAGATGACGGCTGCACACCCTCACCGCAAAAGACCACCGGACTCTTTACGAGGCCTTATCGGGACAAGGGATCGAAATGGACACGACATACCTCACTTCATTGAGTCATCTGTTGTTGTTTTGAGGGGGGGGGGGGAGATCCCACCACAAATACAGTTCAAATTCTTACTTTTTAGTGGTTTCTTCATTCTTTTTTTTTAATTTTTAATCTCATTATCTTAAAGGTTTACCTAATATATGTATCTAAAAATAAACAGGTGAATATAAAAATAACATCAATGTTTTTTTGTATTTGCACTGCGTCACAGATATATTTCGAGGAAAAACCAGCACACAAATAAAATTTAATAAACTTTCTTTTAATCTAATTCTACAAATACATTTTTCTCTCCTTTCTCTACTTTATTCAATTTAAGATATGATTCTAAAATTATGATGCATCTTTTATCTTTTTTTAAAGGCAGTATATCATTTACATGTCGTGGGTTTTTATTTTTAAGGCATTTGGATTTTTGTTTTAAATGCAAATCTTTTTTGTTGAAAAGAATATATGAATGAAGATCAATTCACAAATACATCATGATTTTTAAGCATTCAAACGTGGTAAGAAAAAAGAAAAAAAAATTCTCTCTCTCTCTCTCTCTCTCTCTCTCTCTCTCTCTCTCCCCCAATGCCCAAATGAGCGCCGATGGAGTCAGCATTCTCTATTTGACATCTTTCTGTTATCCGAGCAGTAAAGCAAAAGTATTGTGATGACAAATGACGACAAAATTTTTTGAGCTTTGCTCACCCGCAGGCAAGTTGTTTGGTCCGAAGCGAGCTCGGTGCACGGACGTGACGCTATCGCAGGCCTTCTCCACGTTGCCCCCCTCCACGTCCTGGCCCAGGTCGGGGGCGGAGAGTCCCGTGCAGACCCGACGGGCGGCGTCCCACCCGCAAAAGGGGTCCCGGGCGAGGACGCACTGGGCGCAGGTCCAGTAGAAGGAGCAGTTGGCCGTCGGGAGCCTGAGCACTCCCTCGGACGTTCCGACGTAGATCAGGCCCTGTCAAAGAGATGGCGGCGAATCGCGTGAGACTTCGGCTCACGGCTGGACTTGGATCTTTGGCATGCTGCCACAGAAGGCTCCTAATCAGGTGAACCTTGGGTATGGACAGCTTCAGGCTCTTGACGGGTTGCGGTGTGACGAACACCTGCACCTCCTCCACGACATGCGCCCCGGTCGGCAGCAGCACGGCTTTGTGAAGGTACCCCGACTCTGAAACGTCAACCGATACGTTTGACACTCCACCCGCTAGCCAAACAAATACATTCTTTTCAAACCCTCACAAGGTGGCCTGACCTGTCAGCAGAAAGAGGACCACGTAGTCCACGCCGTTTGCCGCCCGGACCCTTTGGACGGTCAGGTGGCTGTAGCGGTGCTCGGCAGACACCAAGGTGGGACGCCCGCCTGCCGGCCGCACGCTGTCGTCCGCCAAGAAGTTCTCCTTGACGAACCGCAGAGCGTTGTCCGACGCGTTGTGCAGACCGCACTAAAGACGAGAGGAAAGGACGGCCTCAAAAAAAAAAAAATCCAACCCAAAGGCAACATGTCCTCGATATTCAATCAACCTCGTATGGCCCCGCCGATTAACGGAAAAATCGGCAAAAATGATGTTTTTCACATGGACGCTTGACAACACTTTACCTCGCCCGGATTGGCCACCCTCTCTTGCACCCTGGTGCTCCACTGCAGCGTGTCACGGTTGAGGACCTTGTAGCCGCCCGAGAATGCCGACTTGATGTCCGCCAGGCGGAACGAACACACGGCCGACAGTCCCAAATTGACCGACCTGCATTCAAAGGGGAAATAAAATGAACAACGCGTGACTCCCCATGAAACAATCTTTTTTTTTTTTTTTTTTTTTTTAAATAAAAGATGGCTTTGTGAAGGAGAAGCCATGTGGATGTCTGATGACCTATCACATGTCCCTTAATACGTCGTGGAGAATCTTGACTTCCTTTTGTCTGAGCTAAGAAAAGGTCAATACCTAACTTTATTTCTGGAGTACTTTAAAAACAAGAAGCAAAGCTGTAACAAAGGGCGCGATGTCATCATCATTGATATTCGATATTCCAAAAATGAATGAATTAAATATCATTGCCTACTTTGAATACACTACTTGAAAAGCGTTCCTGCAGCGAATCATCCGTGTCTGACCATGTAGTCGTCATGGAAGTACATGTACACTGTGTTGAGTTCAAGGTCCCTGGGGTATGCAAGCGCTCGATTGTTTGAAAAGAGAATGAATGGTGCGGTTTTATAAACACAAAAAATAAAAAAATAAAATTATGACTGTATTAAATCATCACACAATGAGGTATCTTACGTGACATTTCAACAGTCGAACGGCGAGTTGAATTGGGACGGTAAAAATGAGCTCGTATTAACCGGGGAAACGCTTTTGACCTTGGCGACACCTCACTGACCACTGAGAGGTGAAGATGCCGTAGAAAAGCGTGTCGTCCGCTGGCGTGTCGGCGGCTGGCGGCAGGCTGTCGATGTCCTGGAGGACGTTATACGGCAACTCGCCGTCCGCCTGGCAGAGCAGCTGCGCTTTAGCGAAGGTGGTCCAGCGCCGCTGGAGCGTCCGCTGGCCTCCGACGTCACTCTAGGAAAGAACGAATCGAAAACAAACCGTGTTATTGCAGTTCGACACTCTGCTTTTCTCCCAAATGGTGACCGTCCCTCTCATCAATGTTGCAACTTCTACATGCTAGTTGGCCTATGCCCCGCCCCCACAATCATCATCCTTTCCATCCGTTGTTACCGTGCAGACTTGGGAAACGCGCGAGACGACAAACTTGTCGACAAAATCATACTCTCGGCCCACTTCGCTGAAGAAAAAGTAAATTTTGCCCTCGTCTGGAACAAAGGTGGAGCTGATGAAGGTGGGATCTGCACACACAGAGAGAAAAGTAGCTTTAAAGGTGCATCGCCACAAGCGGCGTGCCCCCGTGGCGCGTCCTGACCTTCAAGCCATCCCAGCGTGTCGTCCAGCTTGAGGTCCACGCGGGAGCCTTCGCTCAGGTGGCGGGAGATGAGCGGCCAGTTGCCCCGGTAGTCGGCCACCGTGCCGGTGTAAAGCTCTCCGTCTGGGGACACACCGCGACAGGACGGTCACTGAACGTTTGTTTCCGATCGGCAGCTTTGTCGCGTCGTGGTCCGCACGCTATCAGTTTGGAACAGCGAAAGCGAGAAGGAGCGGTAAGCACGCCCGGCCAAGAAACAGCGTGGCGTCACGTACCTACGATGATAGCCGTGTTGCGCTGGTAGGGATCATAAGGGCAGCGACCTCGCCCCTCATCCGGCTTGAGGCTCACCGTGAATGTATCGGAGTTCTACAAAATAAATCGAGACGCGTTATATTGGGGCCTGAACAATGCGGGTTTTTTCCAGGCCAATGTCGATCCTCAGTAGAGTAAAATTCCCCCAACGATGAATCGGCAGAGACATTTTTTTTTGATGTGGATAGTCACCAAAATACCTTTTTGGGGGCTCTTAACGCTGACCAAAATCATATGACTTACAAGACACAAGATTTGACTGTTTTGCAATATATGGTTTTTGCAAATCCTTTGGGGGGGCGAATAGTTACAATACAAGCTAATAACATGGCCAAGTAATCAGTTCGGCCCGAAGCTAATATAACGTCCGTACATACGGAATCCAAACTTACAATGTAGACACAACGCGGACTGAAGGCAAATGTTCCACAGGCATAGATGTGAGTGGCATTCAGGAAGAGCAGCACGCGGATAAAATTAGGACAGTCCGCCTGGAATAAAAAAATAACAACCGTCACTTATTATTTCTACTAATCGATACACTACAATTCAATTCAAAAACTCGTGCATATGAAAACAAAAGTCCAATTATATATTAATTGAACCGATCCCTGTGTTTTTATAGGCTGATGCCGATTCGGATATTTAAAAAAAAAAAAAAAAGCTGTTTTGTATCTTTCCTAATCCTAGATTAACGTAAAGACATCAGCATTACTTACATTTGCCGGCGACTCCGACACGACATGATTACAATTAAAGAGGCAAGACAGGAAATGGGATTGTGTGCAAACGGGCTACTTGCCATCTTTTTTCCTTTCATTGAACATTGCTCCAGGTCTTTCTCCGAAGGCCTCCAGTCCAGCTACGAGACCAGAGAGCAATGCCGGGTGAAAAGAACGCAACATAGAGTACACCTCCGAATCACCACGGCTTTCCTTACCTTGTTCCTCAGGACAATGCCGCCCTCGAGGCTGACGTCCAGCGCCAACACAGCGTCGCGTCCACCCACGTAGAGCGTATCGCAGTCTTCGCTGAGCAGCAGCGTGGTGGTGTTGCCTACGTCGGCGCTGCTGAAGCGGGTAAGACGTCTCCCCGGACTACCTGCGATCGCACACGGAGATCAGGGGACTTTTAGGCCACGGCAACGACAATGCATGGAGATGTTAGCGAGAGGAAATAGAATAAGATGCAGAATGGGCAGGGACGAAAAAAAAGTCTCCACTCACCCATGGAGAAGGAGACCCGAGGCATCAGCGTGGTCACAGAGGAGTTCAGAAAGCCCAGCAGAGTCACGGCGAGGGGGAGCAAGCGGCAGCCACTCGCCATCCCGACGGGAGGTTGAGGCGAGGCTGAAGGCCGATGGTCGTCGGAGGGGGTGGGGGTCAAGGATACGGCATTCGCAGGGGGGGCGACCCTCGCTGAGACCACATTTTCTGTTTACCACGTCCCACCATTGCTGAGACAGCTGGGAGGGACAAACAGGTTACAAGCGGGCAATGCCCTACCAGTGACTTGCAGATGGAGACAATTATAGGTGCTGGTAGGTAGGTCGGTAGGTAGTAAGACAGATAACTTAGCTGCCTTGATTGAGTATATAGAGAGGTAGTTAGAAGCTTAAATAGTTACCCTGTTCGCCAGCAATATAGATAGGTAGGTAGCAAAACAGGTAGTAAAACCTTTAGACAATATAGAAAGACTTCTATCTGTCCGTAGTAATGAGGTTACTGTAATCTAATAGCATAGCTCCTGGGCAACAAGTCGAATTATACCTAACGTTACTAAACAGAAAAGGGAATTTAAATAGGGGCATAATGAACTTCAAATGAATTATAGCGCTTATTTATTTTAAAGGAAATGTTTTTTTTGTTGGGGGGAGGGGGCGAGAAATGCGCACTTCACACTGTTACGTTACCTTACATGCTAACAGTTAGCGCCCCTTCGAGCCGGCTAACTATTAACACTTAATTCTGCCATCGAAATACGCGATGAGTTGTTGAAATGTGTCTCTTTCAAGGTTAGAATTACCCCCCCCCTTCGTATCGTCGCAGGTATGGACGGTCTTTGTGATCAAAAAAAATTACAGCCGTCACACGAACGAGGCGTCCAGGTTTCAAAGCAGCACCCACAAATACTTTCATTGTTCTTACGTCTCGTCCGGTTCTATCCCCGGGAAGAACCTGAAGCTGGAAGGGGCCACAAGACAAACGCGTGTCCCTCGGCGTGGCGAAAACGCTAAACCGTGCGGGAGAGGGGTGAACGTTGTTCTGACTGTGTCAACAAACAGCCTCGTTCTCCCACCAGTGGCGTTGGCGAGACACTAGTGGGGGGTCGTGCGAGCGTTTCCGCGACCCCTGTGTGACAGCCACGGTTTCAGGCAATCTCGAAATGACATTTTCCTCGAGTTCACAATCAAAGCTGCTGCCCAAAATAACCGACACGCGGCAATAACTGCCATCCTTCAGGTCACATTGAATCAAGTCTGATGGGCCTGAATGATTAACACGACAGAAAGAAGAAAGAAAAACTCATCTTTTCAATATTATATTAGTCCTCCATTCAAGAGAAACAAGGAGAGTTATTTACTTCGGAAAAGGGCAGTTGTAACATTCACGGTGTTTTTTGAGCTTGGAATGCATTGTGTTACAGTATTTGTACTTTGGTTTCAGTGTGAAATGACTGCGGACGTTGTCTGATGATACCAATCTGCAAATAAAGTGAAGCATCTCATGTTATTTTAAACACCACACCGGTTGATCGAGCTGAGGGGGAGGCACCCCACCCAAAAGTATTTATTCATCTCTCAAACATTTGGGTTCAAGAATTTCTGCCCCGAGCCTCTTTCACGCCACTTGGTCCTTTTATCAATGTTGCTGTTTTATATAAATGGCACAAACATGGAATGGGGGACCCAAGCGGACGCAGCAATAGGTGGGTTTCCATCACGAAAGAATTGTTCGTCCGCTATGTTGGAGGTCAATTTGAGGAGGATAAGCTTCGCTTGAAACAGAAAAGCTGGCCGATTTACTGTTTATTTTTCCTCGCCACCTAGACAAGCCACAATTAAAATCAATACTGTTTTACTTTACAATCTACTTCACAGCCTGCCTTATTTGAGCTAAAACAGCTTTGACTTTACCTATACCTTGGCCACAATTGCCCGATATCCAACATAAACGATACATTTTGATTTTACAGAGCCTGCCCAGTCGCACTGTAAATGGACACATTTCCTCCAGTTTTCGCAGGCGGTTTGTGACTTTCCATGGCCCTGCGCGTGAATAGTAAAACACCTTCCAGGTTGGTCCCTACTGTGCAAACGGCACAAGTTGATTCCAGTTCTACTACCTAATTCATGCCAATCTGTTTTATGTGTCATTCTGTAGAAGTACCTGTCAAGTCATCCATCTTGTATGAGTCGACTCCCATGACTCAACATCGAAAGGGGAGCGGTCAAACCTCACCGCCGATCTTCAGTCGCTCAATTTCAGGTCTACAAATTGCATTCAAACTACAGGAGGTTAGTCCGGTTTTAAAAGCAGGGAAAGGATAGGGAGAGGGTAAGATGGCTAATCAGAAGCAAGGGAGATTAGACAGGATTAAGCGGGGTGACCTGAAAACAGACACATGGTGAAAAAGACGGACGGGTCAAACGACCCACTCCGCCGCGGTGATGTCACTAAAATTTCATGTACCTTTTCTCTATTGACATGCCATTAATCAGTTCTGCCGGTTGCCTTTTGCACCCCCTCTACTAGCAACAAGATCTAGTAAGGGGCCCTGCATGGAGGATTTCCGACATTTCGTCAATGGATCAGTCGCCCTGTTCGCCGGAGTGTCTGGGCTCGAGTTGAGGCCTACGGCAGCTTCTTCTGAGTGTTGTCAGTCGGTGTTGAGACTGTTTTCCGCGGCCTGTAAAAGCCACCGTTGTCCACCGTTTTTGCAAGTCGACATTTTGCGGAAGCGCGCGGGTAACCGTGGGACGCGTCTCATGGAAGGAGCCGTTTTGATTCCAGATCACTGCGACAACATAGCTCAAGGTTAATTGTGCACAAGGAGTGAATTTATTCAAACATTATTTCACAAACTGGTTCTAGTCAACGCTGATCTCATCCAACTGCCAATAAACGACATGTAATAAGTAAACATAAGCCTTTTGGGCAACACCCTGACTATACATGAAAAGGGAAAAAAAAAACAATCGAGAAGAATGCGAGTTAATGATTAGAGCAGGTATGGCCTTTTGTACCTATTAAATTTGACGCATCTGACACGATATATTCATTTATATTCGACTTTGGTTACGAGCACCAGCAATCCCACCTTCCCGGTGGAAGAAGGTTAGTTGGTTAGCAAAATAGAACAAACAAGAAAAATACCAAAGCCGTTGTGGCGAGTAGGTTCGGTCGGAGAGAAAACTAGCCTGATTTGGATTCGGATTTTATTACACAACATATGGCGGGGAAGTTAAAACCTGTCATCTCTACTAGCAACAAGATCTAGTAAGGGGCCCTGCATGGAGGATTTCCGACATTTCGTCAATGGATCAGTCGCCCTGTTCGCCGGAGTGTCTGGGCTCGAGTTGAGGCCTACGGCAGCTTCTTCTGAGTGTTGTCAGTCGGTGTTGAGACTGTTTTCCGCGGCCTGTAAAAGCCACCGTTGTCCACCGTTTTTGCAAGTCGACATTTTGCGGAAGCGCGCGGGTAACCGTTGGACGCGTCTCATGGAAGGAGCCGTTTTGATTCCAGATCACTGCGACAACATAGCTCAAGGTTAATTGTGCACAAGGAGTGAATTTATTCAAACATTATTTCACAAACTGGTTCTAGTCAACGCTGATCTCATCCAACTGCCAATAAACGACATGTAATAAGTAAACATAAGCCTTTTGGGCAACACCCTGACTATACATGAAAAGGGAAAAAAAAAACAATCGAGAAGAATGCGAGTTAATGATTAGAGCAGGTATGGCCTTTTGTACCTATTAAATTTGACGCATCTGACACGATATATTCATTTATATTCGACTTTGGTTACGAGCACCAGCAATCCCACCTTCCCGGTGGAAGAAGGTTAGTTGGTTAGCAAAATAGAACAAACAAGAAAAATACCAAAGCCGTTGTGGCGAGTAGGTTCGGTCGGAGAGAAAACTAGCCTGATTTGGATTCGGATTTTATTACACAACATATGGCGGGGAAGTTAAAACCTGTCATATCGAGATGATAGCGTATAAAAATGGAATGCCTTGCACTTGGGTCATCTTTTTTTGGATTTGGCCCGACACCTGATGATGATGATGATGATGGTGGTGGTGGGTTCTACATTTCCAAGGACGATTTGGCGGGCTGGAACCTCAGAGCTGGGGTTTTTTTTTTGTTTTTAATTTTGTTGGTTGTTCGTTGAGGGTGTTCACAGGAGGGCGCAGCTGCACGAGGTGCCCTTGTTGCCGCCGAGGAGGCCGTGCTGCGAGGTGGCGAGAGTCTGGATTAAGTTCCAGAAGTGGGAGAAGGAGATGCCCTCGCCGTCGCCCACGCCCATCTTCCGCAGGACCTCGCTCAGGCCCTGTTCTGTCAGGAAGCCCTGCGGAAACATGTGGAAAGAAATGAAAATTTTGCCTTTTAAGAAAAGTGCAACGCGATAACTTGAGTCCACTTTTCCTCCTGCGACTGTCAAACGGGTGAACTTGAGCCGCGACATCGAAACGACCACGAGTTCCCTTGCAGCAGAAAAAGAACAGCTCCCAGTTGAGGGGCGCATAAGAGGTACCAATCATGGTGTTTACACGCCGGAACGCAGCGGAAAAGACGCCCGGACAATATGTGGAGTGGCTCCCGAGGCCGCGAGTGCGGTTGGCTATGGTTTCCGCCGCCACCCGCCCCCCCCACCAGCGTGCATCTTTTAGAGACATCGCTCAAGCCCACAGAGGCGTTGACACGGCACAATCGGACACACACGTCGTCCGGGCGATCCGCCTTCCTTGCTTGTCTGTGTGTGTGAAACATGCAGCCACACCCAAGCTACTAGAAATCGACTGTATGTGTGTGTGTGTGTGTGTGTGTGTGTGTGTGTGTGTGTGTGTGTTTTAATGCGCGCGGGAGCTCACACGCTTTCTCACCTTGGCCAGGTTGGGCAGCTGAGAAGACAGAAGCCCTTTGAACTCGTCCACCTTTAGCGTGGAGCCGTTGTCGGCCGAGGCCGAGTGGAACTGGGTGACCAGTGTGTTGATGGCGCCCTCCAAGTCCGAGTACTAGACAAAAAAAAAAAAAAAACAAGTACAAGATAAGATATTTGGAAATGGCCGCTATGCTGCGAGTTGACCTCTAGGGTGATTTCACAGTGTACAGAATGCTATAGAGAAGAGGCAGAGAAGGCCCTAAATGAAGATGCTCTTTTTCACAGAGGAGAGGCAATAGCTACCGAGGAGTACGGTTGTATGCTCTGTTTGTAGATGTTGCTCTGTGTATGTTAAAGGGGCGGTTGTTACAAGGTGGGTAATTCCAGCAATACCGATGCTAATTTCAGCTAGCCAGACGACGGCATGTCATATGTTAGTATGACGGGAATGTTGTGAGGAAAGAAAAAAGACGTGGTTTGGTGTTTGAAATCTGCCACTAGTGAGTCGTGTGAACAGCTGTCCAGCAATATATATATATATATATATATGTATATGTAGCTTGACGCAATCACGCTTTGCATCTCATTTGGAGAGTTGAGCAAACAAGCGGGAACAGGAATCCTTTGCAAAGTGTGTTTGAATAAGTTGAATGACATTGAAATGCGTTGAAAGAATGTAGGAGGGGCAAAAGCAAAAGACAACGGTTTTCCGCGTCGCAGATTTTCACCAAATCTGGAATGTATCGCCCACTCTAGATCGGACTCACTCAATCGCTTTTTGCTCCTGCTTCTTCAGATTCTTTCAATGGGCTGCGACGTTATCTCAGATTCTTGACAATGTGGTGGTGGCGTTTTACTCGTGCCCCTTGAAAGGAGCAGCTCCCCGAATCGACCGTGTCCAATGACAATTAAAGGCATTCTAGTGGACTTTCTTTTATTTGCAGTAATTACCCCCAAACTACGGTGTACCTCACGGTTCGGCGTTGAGCCGCTTTTTGTTCCTTCCCCCTGCAGCGTTTGTTTCTTTGCTACGCCAAACATTTCCAATATGACCCAGTGCTTGTTTAGTCATCCCCAAAATCAATCAGTCACCACTCACGACGATTTTCAACAAGAAACGCAGGACTGGAGACCACCGCAATGCAGCCTACGGCCGGGCATCCTCTTCTAAAAAGTTCCAAGGCGATTTACTTTTTTTTTTTTTTTTTTAAAGACATACGAAATGAAGTACGATTCAATGAGCTCCGGTTGACCTCAGCGGATAGCTGACGGACACCCGCCCACAATAGCTGACAATCCGCAACAACAAGAGATCATGTATAATTTTTTTTTTCATGCTTTTTACCCCTCTCACACTTTTTAAACATATACATGTATTTAAACTCTCGCACACACACACACGGAAGCAAATAGCAGGGCTGAAATGTATTGAAAACACTGCACGTATCGGGCATGTGCTCATTCTGTTTGTGTGGACAGTCCAATAAACTGCTGAAAAGCGCACTGGTGGCGTTGGCTCTCCTTTCCACATTTCTGTATATGGAGCGAGGGGCGCTAAGGATGAAGTACAATTCAGCGAGCTAAGACTGGAGTGGAATAGCTTGAAACGAAGCTCCTCAATTCATCCTTGGCACCAAGATGCCAAAGGATGGCAAGGTAATGCGTATATTTTGGCCTGAGCACAAAAACTGTATGGGCGGGGTGGGTGTGTGGGGTTTATTTTCTTGTGTCACTTTGGTATCATTTGAAACTTGTACACACAGTGTAATGGAATCATTTATTCCCTTGCATATTGGTAAGACAATCAACAAATTGTTTGGAAGTTCCAATCAGCATCCAGAGGGTCTATCAGGGCTTTTTCTAAGGACACTAAATTAAATTATGAGCACCATTTGGTGACTTCTATAACCACAGTTCCTCTGCAGTTTTCCTTTTTTTTTTTTTTTTAGAAATGCAAGCAAGCCACATGAATATGTTCCAAGGCTCCGGGTCTCCCCCCTCAGTCCCCAAGATCAAGTCACATGAGACACACTCAAGTTAGTCTTTTCTTCTTCATTTAAAAAAAATGTAACAAGTAGCTATTCTATGCATGCAGGAAGGCAGCTTTGTGTCTCTCTGCCTCTCTCAGACACACACACACACACACACACACACACACACACACACACACACACACACACACAGGGAAAAAAAAAACACCACACCCTTGTTCTTTTAAGAATGACAAGCTCCTGCAAGCCCTTCACCTCTGCACTTGATGTCACTTTTCTAGGCTCATTGAAATAGACCAAACTGTGAGATAATTTTATGAGATTCTGTTCGTTTGGATGTACTTTAGCCGCTTCAAAGCATAAATTGCATCGGAGTTTTCGTATGACTGTACAGTCGAGCCCTAATTTAACCAATACTGTATTGCTGTCATGTCAGTCTTCATATTTGCATTTTACACTTTAAAATACACCCCATTTATGTTTAGATGTCAATATTTTGGGGAATAGCCGACTTGCCGAATGGAAGACTTTTACATTTTCGAGTGTGAGTACATGAATGATAACTGCTTTTTGAGACTCATTGTTCCTACCAGCTCAGATTTGGACGAGTAATAAAAAGAATGCCATTAATAGGAGGGATGGACAATTAAATTTGGAATCCATTTATGTATACATAAACAGTTTCAAACACTCATGATATTCAAGTCTACGAAATGTGTTGCGATTTATTTGTAGCGCAGTCCAGCCCTTTGTGAACTTGACAAAAATGGCCCCTGATGATCAATTTCAGTGGTCAAGTGGCCCTCATTTAGCCTTTTTCGAGTTGATTTCACTTGGGGGGGGAAAAAAGGAACGCCATCTTGTTTTAATTCAACAAGTTAATGACGCGCGTGCGCCGTCCGACTTTTGGAAAAACTTCTTCATCCATTTAGGGAGGGGCCGGCCGCTCGCAAGCGACGCCGGACGACCAAGTTTCGCCTCGCGCGCTACTTCAAGTGTGCGATCGGTGACACAAAAGCAGGCGACCAAGTTGTTTGATGCCAAGAAAACCAAGTCGAAAATGGCTTTTTTTCTCCCCTCCAGTTGGCTGGCTCGGACGCGCGTCCTCGACGGACCGCTTCGGCCGAGTCGCGCGCCGCCCACAAGTGTTTTCAAACCAAACATGCACGACTACTTTTTCGGGTCATGAGACGTTATTTGCGAGAGCGAGCGTTCGCTTGGAAATCAGTGGGAAATTCGCTGGTTGTTTGCGTCGGTTTCCTACCTGAGGCATGTCGACTGTTGGCTCGAATGTGGCAACTTTTACTGGTCCTGCGTGTCTATCCACTCCTCTGACTGTGCATGTGTGTGTGTGGATCTGCGTTCTTGTCAGCAGCTGGCAGCCGTCCGGGATCCTCCCTCCTTCCTTCTCTGCAAAAGACAAGAGGACGGGGGGGGGGGGGGGGGGGGGGAGGGTCGAAGCAGGAAGAAGGAGCTGTAAAAAGGGAACCAAATGCGCCGTAACGTCACACCATGACACCGCGCGTGTCTTTGTGCGTTTGTGTGATTGTTATTGTGTGTGTGTGTGTGTGTGTGTGTGTGTGCGCGTGTTGTTCAAAAACTGTGTCATGTTCCTCTGAGGTCCTTCCACTCCACATCTGGAAAATTTTAGTTGAGCCAGTCTTGTCGTTGTCCACCCCCCCCCCCCCCCCCCCCCCCCCCCCCCCGTTTGACAAGCTCCATTTTGAGTTTTTTTTTTAACTTGCATTGCACTGATCTGCATTAAAGTTCAAGCATGATACTAAAAAGCAGTTTTGAAATCATAGTACTGTCATAAAAAAGGGAGGGAAAGGGGGGGAGGAGGACGAGGAAACAGGCGCAACCGCATTCCTTCTATCTGGTTTTATGAGCGAAGGCCGTCACTGCGGTGTGTGTGCGTGCGCGTGTGCGTGTGTGTGTGAGTAAGGGGGACGCTCCGCATTTTGGTTCAAATGAACCAAAGGAATTTATTCTTGAAAAAAAAAAAGAAAAAGGCACAATTTTTGCAACAGATGGTGAGCATTTATTCAAAGATGATGTCCTTGAGGGTGTGTCGTCTTAAATATGATCGAAACACTGTGTTGGAAGGGGGGGGGGTGGAGGGGTGGGGGTCATCCAAAACAAACCTCCGCCCACTCGAAGCCACTCAAATATGGGAAGAAGGGGTCGCCCGCCACGCCCGACCAGCGAATTGTTTCGGTATGATAACATAACATCTCACACTGGAGTGTTTTGCATTTAAAACACACACATAAGTAAGAGAGCGTGAACACAAACTCCAAACACTTGCAAACAACTGATGTTTCCATAAGATTATTAGGGGTGTGGCTGTTAGAAAAAAAAAATAAGCTAATGTTGACTTCTGGTGATCCCAAGAACGTACAGATCATGTGTGTCCAAAACCGTTGCACTGTTAGCAAGCCTGAGAATTTATATACTGTACAACAAAAAAATGACATATGTGTTTTTTCAAAATGTAAAATAGAGTTGACTTCCAGTGGGCCTGAGAATTTGGTAGGATTGTGGACAAATAACTCATTAGTCCTAAACCGAAACGTTATACTGTATATGGATGTGTCACTGTGACTTCTTTTCCATGAATTTATCATCAAATTTTACTGAGGCCAAAGATTTAGTAGGATTGTGCACCAAATTGTTGATTTGTATTCTGGGTTTCCATGTGATTTCTAGTGCTGTGGCAATGACAGTCTCGTGGAGATCTAAAAACAAAACCCCCAAAAAGTACCTTTAAAAGGCTTTATCGCTGATCTCGTAAGATTATTTGGGGTGTGGCTATTAAAATAAATAACATTGAAACAAACTTAAGTTGAGAAAGTCGCACTGCAACTTGGACAAAACAGACATCTTCTGGGTGAGATGTTTTCATTGCGCGATCTTAATTCGTTGAGATTATTTGAGGTGTGGTTCGTAAAAATGCAATACAGATAATACTGGCTGCCAGTGGGCTAAACGTGTCATATGTTCGAAAAGAAAATGGTTTGCGGCACAATCCCCACAAATTAAACGCAAGTCATTGAGAATGCAGGTAGGAATTTAAAGGGATTGTAGCCCGTGATGCACAATAAGAATGACAAACTTTCGACTGAAGTGGCTCAAAACTTTACAAGTACGGTCCCACCTAAATAATATAACTCTCCGGGTACCTTTGTCGTCCACCCGATGTAGATAACTTCATTTTCTTTTCACATCGAAGATATTGCATGATTGTTTCGTTTTGCCATTATGTCAAACAAAAAGTGGGCAGGTGATTTAGGGGAGGCATTTTGGGGGATGAAATTAAACACTGTGAATTGCAGTTTTCTGTCTTCTGGAATGAGGGTGCGGACCAAAATGAAAATGTGGAGAAATAAAGCGATATGACAATTAGGGTTGTGGGAGACCACCGGGATCTTTGCGGACGCCAGGCAGAGTTCCAATCAGTTTGCCTTGCCCTCGAACAGTCAAGCGTCGCCTCTTCCCAGCAATGGTTGTGCTTTTTCTGAAATGCCCACAAGTGCCACCAGAGGGCACCAATGTCGAATGCTTCAGTGACGCATCACGACTGAGAGGCGTTAAAATCTGCGTTCGTTGAGTAGGAGGTCAGTTCAACCTGGAAGGTAGAGGGCGTCATCGCCACGTGTGCATGTCAATTTGCTTTCAGATATGTTTGAAATTAAATGTTGAGGTTTTTGGGCAGGGGGAGTCAGTTTTCAGGAGAGCATCCCACACTATAACTAAATGCTGATTTTTCACAGGGGAAGTCGGGGACCCTATCCTCCTGTTACGAGCGTGGGTGGAAAGAACAACCCGCTTGCCGACTCTGGACCCCAAGATTTCTGCTAGTGGGAAAGTCTGTCGAACTTTATCAGTCAGAAGTAACAACCGTAATATACGCTTCCTGTTTCAAAAAGATATTTCGGCGACCCAGAATATTGTTTCTTACTGGTCTGCTTTTGTTAGTAATTTACACGGGGGAAAATCTGGTCTCTTCCATACAAATGTCTTCTGACTAATAAAGTAAGGGAAAGCACTTTCAAAATGATACACAGCTACTATCCTACCAAGCATTATCTTCTTAAGTTCAAGAAAGACATCTGTGTTGATTGCTTGTTTTGTGCGATGTCCCCTGAAACGATGATTCGTAGCTCTATGCTCTTTAGTTGGAATTATTGTTTAAAATCCTATGGATCTTGTTTTTGCTTATCTGTCTTTATTCTGGACATGTATTAATAACTTGTTCGTTTTGTTCTCTGTGATTTGTAATTCGACTTGTTCAATAAAGATTTTTTAAAAAAATGACCTCACCAAGATGGCCGCGATGATCGCACTGAAGTCAACACTTCCGGCTTGGGGCTAAACGCAAGCGCGGATATCAGGGCCTCGCTTCCGGTTGTGCCTCCTTTTCGGCAGCGGCTATTTCCTCGCCAACATGCCAGTGAGTATCCGCACCACCTCATCCAACGACATTTCCCCCGTTTAATGGCGCTTTTGGAGGCGCATTCACGACTCTACGTTTAGCTGAAACCTTTGCGATTCCACCGGTACCGCCGAAGTCACCCTTGCTGGCTTTTAGTCGCACTTTGTCACAAATTAAACTGCAATTTTGTTGAGCGCATTGAGACTCAAGATGGCGGCGCGCACACGGCAAACATGGAGTCAGTCCAGCCGACGTTTGTGCTTCGATGATTGATTCTGTCCTTCTCAGTTACATAAATGTCCCCGTTTTTGGGTATTCTGAAGCTAACTTTATGAGCTTTGCGGTGTGCCTTAAAGAGATAACGGATACGTTAACCGACCGGTAACGTAGGCCAACCTGGAAGCCAAATCCGGAACAACCAGTTGGAAGAAATTAAAAAACGCCACCCTACCATATCTCTACCATAATCATACCACGCCTTTAATAACAGTATTGCCAATAATTTGTGTCTGCCCTGTTAGCTCGCGAAAGACTTGTTGCATCCATCTCCAGAGGAGACAAGGAGGAGGCACAAGAAGAAGCGCCTTGTTCAGAGTCCCAACTCTTACTTTATGGATGTCAAATGTCCAGGTAAGGTGCCGCAACACTCACGTGGCTTTGGGGCAAAATCTCCTGTCAGAATGTAAGTGACTGTCTGTTGCAGGATGCTACAAGATCACAACAGTGTTCAGCCACGCGCAGACGGTCGTGTTGTGCGTCGGCTGCTCGACAGTCTTGTGTCAGCCCACCGGAGGAAAAGCACGCCTCACAGAGGGTCGGTATTAACCAGCCCCTATAACGTTAGGTTTTGATGGCTTTTTTTGGAGGGGGCGGGGGGCTCTTCATGTGTTGCACCGTTGCTTGAAGGGTTAAAAATGCTTTTTTTTAAAATTTTTTTATAGCCCAATTTACAGCATCTTGTATTCTACGTTGGCATCCAGCAAGCATACGTTAATAAGGCAAAGCAACGTGGTTTTGTTCAATACACACGTAGTTCTTTAGTTTTCCAGTAAAAGTCAACAGGGAGTGACACTAAACTTGAAACAAGGACTTGTGCAACGTATCTTAAAATTTGTAAATTGGTTCACGGTACATTGAGGTACCAATGAATAGTGTTTCTTTATGATCAACAAAATGTTGGTTATGGAACACATGTTAAAGTCGAAAGCCAAAGCTGTTAGATTTGTTTTCCCGCACTGCATAAGTGACTGGACGTCCTGTTTGGTGGTCTTCTAGTCTCATTATTGTGCCAGATGAACCTCAGTTTGCAGAAGGGTTGAGCGAGACCACTGGCTCCCCCCTTTCGAAGGCTGAGAACAAACCTTTAGCTCCCAGCGATTGTAGTCAAAGCACCATGATACTGGCTCGAAAAACGCTGACTCTTGTCTTTATTTAATTTTTTTTGTCCTGCTCAGGGTGCTCGTTTAGGAGGAAGCAGCACTAAAATGTTTCCGGTTCGACCAAGGGACAGATTGTGGGAAAAGGATTGCCACCGCGGCACAATTAACCACTGTACCGCCACCACCACCATGTTCCTTGTTTCTCAATAAAATGTTTTGGCTAAATGAATGAGTTGAATTTTTGAAGACAAGTGCTGCAGTGTTTATTAGAAATAACATCTATTTTTTTTCTTTGACACTTCACATGCATACAGTGGAACCTATGGAGTCCACCGCCCCCCACCCCCCCAAAAAATCATTGGAAAATTAAAGCAGGTTTATCCTCAAACTTGTTTGTACCTGTTATTTCTCAGTAAGTTACGAATACATATTCAATTGTGCTTAGAAGCGAGTAAAACATAATGAACGATAAACAAATAGTACACATTGTACGTTTTATTTAATTTCAAGGTTCAATTTTTTTTCCCCAATTGAGACCCTCAATTGCTTGATGTATACCAACTTGGAATACCCTCAATAAAAATCATCGGCTTTAACCCGGAACCAGAAATGAACACATCGCACTCAATTCATAACACCTGCTCTTGAGTAAGCCACCACATAAAACTAAAACTACAACAAAGTAAAAAGTACTTGGCTTGGGAATCATAAATATGCTGTGCGTTACTAAGCTTCTCCTCAGTAGCCGTATCTTGCCTGTTTTCCATCCCTCCCCTACAACAACGCACCTGATTCAAAGGATCAGTTCATCAGCAAGCGCTGAAGAAGCCTGAAACGATCATGATCAATTGAATCGGGTGTGTTGGATTCGGGAGAGCTCGAAAACAGACAGGATGTGGCTCTCGAGGAACCGGAGTTCCCGAGTCCTGAGGCAATGGCTCACGTCCTCCTTCGGCTCACTTTTGCCCTGCAGATTCCTGGGGGGACTCATAAGTGGCATCACACAAAGTAGCAAAAAAAAAAAAAAACGTACATGAATTTCAATTTTTTGAATGTACATTTGCGAACTCCCTCCACCAACGATGTGACCTACAAAAGAACATGTTTGGAACATGAACTTTTTCGGAAGAGTTTCGGTTCAAGTCCACTTTTACGACCGGCGTTCCGCTGCTCGAGCAGCATTTTCCTATTCCGCAATACTCGGCTCCTCCATCTAGGGGGTGTCAGACAACCAGTTTTCGTTCTACCTGTCCTCATGCCTTCCGGCAGCGTCGACCTTCTCCCTCTCGCGTAGCAGGTGGCGTATGGAGGAGTTCTGCATGGACAAGGTGCTGGTCAGCAGCGGCATGAGGCCTCGGAAGCCCTCGTGCAGCTCCTCCACGTGCTTCTCCAAGCCGTGGACGTGAGCGTCCAACTCGGCCCGGCAGCCCTGCACCTCCACCAGCACGTCGGACAGCGTGGTTTGCAACTGAGGCGGTCCCAGAGCAGACACACGTCACAACAACGGTGCGTTGGCACTTGGCTTGAGATTCGCAAAGCAGTGAGAGCACTTGCCTCTCTCACCTTGCAGAGGTCCACCAGCGTGCTGCCTTGGTCCGCCAGGATCCGCTTGTCCATCTTGACGCGCCGGAGCCTGGACGGTGCACACATGAACGTATGCTTTTTACGATGCGTTGACATTTAAATGTTGACGGAAACCCCCAAAGTGGCACCCATTCATCTTTTTTTTTTTACAGTTTTGAGTTACTCTGTTACAGTTTCTTAAATCCAGTTGGTGACAGTTACTAAGATCATGTATCTGATTGCATGAACACAAGAGGATAAGACTGATTTTCCCGAAGGCGAGGCGTCTTACTGGTGGATGGCGAGCATCAGTTTGCGTTGGTGCATGCGGACCATGGTGTGGTCTTTCTCCCTTGAGAGTTTGGTGTGCTTGTAGATGAACCAAGTCTCCCTCAGCACGTTTGCGGCCGCGATCTTCATCTGCACCGACGGAAACATTCACATGACAGTTTCGTACTCACCGGAAGAGACCGGATAAGCACTAAATGGCGTGAAAATGGCGAGCGAACCCTTTTGGATATGTGCGAGTCAATCATGAAGTTGTGAACGTGCTTCTCAGCCCGCGTCAGCTCCAGCTTCCTGGCCACCACTGCGACCACCAGGACGGTGCAGCCGGCCCCCTGCGGGCAGACGTTTTAAAACATTCATCTACCCCCCTGTCACTCCCCAAAATAAGAAAAAAAAAGTCTTCTCACCATGATTCCGGTAAGGAGGCAGATGCTGCGTCCACAGTAGGTGTGAGGCACCACGTCCCCGTAGCCGATGGACAGGAAGGTGACCGACACCATCCACAGGGCCTCCATGTAGTTACTGCTTAAGTCCCTGTAGTTGTGGTGTCTGAAAATATGGATGAAAAATGGGTTCGTTTAAATCCTTCAATCATAATTCACCCAAGCACGACTTCAAAATGTAGCAGCAGTGACCTCTCGCATACGTGCAGCCCCCAGGCCGCCAGGATCCACAGGGAGACGCTGAAGATCATCAGCACGGTGCCAGGGTAGGTGGTCATCAGGGTCTTGCCCACGAAGCGCGCGTTGAAGTGGATCTGACGAGCGTTCAGATTCGGATTATAGGACGGCACGCTCGCAATGCGGCTGTCTGGAGTGGATCGAAGGTTGAGCTCGACCAAAGGTCACCAACCTTTTTGAGAGCGAGAGCCACTTCATGTATACTGATTGTGTGAGGGGATACCAAATTGATCTATGTTTGAAATAACACATTTGTCCAAATGACCTTTTGATAAATATGAGCATGTGTAATTTTTTTTAATACTTGATGATTTTAATTTTCAGACTCTGATCATGTCACACAATAACTGCCGCTGTTTGCATCCTAATTTCTGCCAGCAAATCACAATGTCACAGCACTGGCGGGCTCCTCATGTGGTCCTCATGGGCTACCTGGTGCCCGCGGGGACCATGTTGGTGACCCCTGAGCAAGACAAAGGTCATTTTTCTTAAATGACACGAGAAAGACCCAGGGAGTGAGTTTGGTGGCTTTTCACACATTGCCTCTCTGTTGCTGACCAAAACAGCAGCACCACCGAATGAATTTGGAATTTATTTATTCAGTTTTTTTTTTGGGGGGGGGGACAAATTGTAACCGTAGCATATTGAGCCAAAATGTTCCATTTGATGTCATGATACACCATGCTGAATTGTACCGCACTATAACAAACTCTACCTTGACCAGACAAACTGCACTACACCAAACGATTATACCAAACCAAACGACCATACCATGCCAATCTGCCTGACCAAACTGTGCCACGCCAAACTGTACGCTACTATATCAGAAGTGTTACCATACCGTGCTACAAGAAAACAGGACGTCAAACTCGATCATACCGTGCACAAGTGTCTCATAGCGTGTCAAAGTGTATGATGTCATCCCAAACTAGTCATCAATACCGAACCAAACTGTACCATATCAAAACAAATTGTATTATATCATACCGTAGGGTACCAAACCACATGGTAACTTGGCATACCAGATTGTATCAGACCGAACCACACCGAAACCGTGCAATGCTACATTCGCCCTATTTGTACCGTTCCGTAAGATCCAAAGTCGAGCTCGAACCTTGGGCCCGTTGTATTTCAACTTGGTACTTGGATGCATTTTTGATGGGGTAGGACTCGTTCCAAATGTTTGACAGCCACTGCCTCGGGTACCTTGTTGAGCGCCCCGATGCTCCGCGACGCCGTATCGGTGAAGAGTCTGCTGTGCAGCATCATGGCGCGGCCCAGCAGGTAGAGCCGGAGAAACATGGGCAGCGCGAGCACGATCTCCAGCTCCGTCTCGGACAGCGCCGCGGCCGACGGCGCCGTCCGCCGCTGGAAGTAGGCCAGCAGGCCCACCGGATACGGATGGATGGCCGCCGCCGCCAGCTCCAGCGCGATGAGGGCCAGGCGCTCCGTTGTCATGGCGATGCGCCAGTCCTCGGCGCTGCTGTCGTGGACGTACAACTACCATTGCCGGATTGTCAAAAGATGCCAGATGAAGCTTCCGCGTGTGCTCATTCAACGTCTCATTTGTCGGGTTACCTGCACCTCGCAGCAGTGATACGCTACGATGAGGCCGAGCAGGACGACGGTGGACAGGCTGATGACGGATTTGAGCGAGAGTGAGTAGACGGAACTCTGTGGGAGCGACACACACACAATAGCACAGGTCAAGACCTCGATAATCTTACACACACGGGAATCATCCACTTGCAGGATGTCACCGGCACGATTTTATGGGTGTTGCACTTTTCATGCCTGTTCCATAGCCTTCTCTAAGAAACAGGACTCGGGTTGCACCGATATCACTTTTTTTTTTTTTTTTCAGATCCGGTCTATGTATTTACATTTGAGTCCTTGATCATGGCCTTCTATGAAGCAATTAGGATCACGCGGTTTTGATTTTGATCACATAGTGGCCCAAAATGGAACCTTTTCTCTAAAATGGCACCTTTCAAACTTTTGGGGGGAGTTGGCTCGCCGCTAAGCGCCGGTCATCCGTGTCACTCAGCAGGTCTGGCCCCACCTTCCGTGGCCATACACGCTCAGTCACAGACAATGCGTGATTGAACAGAAAGATGGTGATTCCGAGCGAACAAAAATAATACCCAGGACCGCGTGCAAGTTTTGGTGTTTAGTAAAGAAAAACGCGATGATGACTCAAATAGTCGGTGGGATCATCCGTTCGAAATATATGTGATCACTAGACTCGTACGTGCCACATCATGCCAAACAAAACACACAAAAGCTGCGACGAGTATACCGGACCTTGCTGTAGACGCTCCACGAGAGTTCCGTTTCCATGACCATCATGACCACGCCGAAAATCCCCACGGCGAGAGCGCAGTCGTTGAGCCGCCGCCTGCGCAGGAAGAGCGCCCTCCTGCGCACCAGCCGCCACCCGATGCTGTGCGTCTTCCAGTAGTGGTCGTCCTTGGCCTCGGCTTTGCGCTTGGGGCTGGAGTTGCAGGGGGCCCCCGGCAGGAGACCCCGATCCCGATCCAGCAGCTGCGGCGGCGACTCTTTGCCGGGTCGGGGCGCCTCGTCGTCCCTGCCGGTGATCCGAATCTCCGGGAGGCTCTGCCTCATCTCCAAGGAGGGAGGAGCCCGCCTCTCCAGGCTCGGGACCGGGGCCCTCCTGGAGCTTTTGGCGGGGGCGCCGTCATGAAAAGTGCAGCTCTTCTCCTGGAGTCTGGAAGCTCCTGCGCTCTTTTGTCTCCGCTCCTTCCTGGAACAACTCTGACGTTTCTTCTCCTTGCATTTGACATGGTCGGCGGCCCTCTTGGGGGAGCACGGCGAGGCTCGGGCGCACAGGTAGCCGTTGTACAAAGGCATGGTGGCCATGGCCTGGGTGCGGTCCAGCCACACCGCGTGACCCGCGCACCTCTGGACGGCCGGGTGCAGCCCGCACTGAGGGGGGCAGGCCCGGCGGGGCGAGAGCGTCCTGGCGGGGGGCAGCAGGGAACGCTGCTCCTCCACCTCGCTCTCGTCCAGCGGGGAAATGTTGACCGTGGAGGTGGAGGAGGAGCGCTCCATGGTGACTGGCTCCATTTCAAGGGGAGAGAGGACATGTTAGAAAGAAGAGCGCCCGGTTGACGTGAGAACTAACCGATTTCCAGTCATTAAATATCTTACATTGGATACATCGCCATCACTCTTTAAGAACTTGCACATAAAAAGAAACATCTGTTGAGGGATTCTCAACTCCTTGTTTAAAATGTGTCCACCATTTTCGACATTTTAGATTGGCCGATTTCTAGAACAAACAGAGACCCATGTGAGGACTGACCAACAGAACCGAGGATTCTGCTCGACATTGACCGTATGGAGTCCGAAGGCCTAATGCAAGTTATTTTTTAATGCTGTTTCTATACGTTTTAAGAAAAAACAGGGAAAAGAGATTCCCGCAGTTTGCCATTTTTTAGTCATCAGCGCGGTTATATTGATGACGTGACATGATTTACAGCTTGGAAAATATTCCGTATCCAATTTGTCGGACAGACAACACAATGAGTTTGTGAATACCTTACCTTTCGAGAAGCGAGCTCGATATTTGCTATTTCTTCAAATTTGGAAAAATCCTACTCCCTCTGGAATAAAAAAAAAAAAAAAAACACCTGTCCTGTTGCACGTCCTTCCTTTAAGCAAACAACAAAAAAAGAAAGAAGGTAAAGATTAATCAATGTATACTTGGAAAAAAAAAAAGATTCATTGCAATGCGCATTAGTGGCGTGATGTCATCAGATCATCAAATTCAATCGCCATGGACACGCTCCGTCGAACAAAGCGGCCCGGTCCATTAGCAGCCTGCTCATGACGGAGCTCCACCCTTAGATTCCAGATGAGGTTACCAACCTCTTGTGTATATAATGCTGACATGTGACCAATGACCACACACACACACACACACACACACACACACACACATGCGCGCACACACACACACACACACGCACTTATATCCATGACATGTCCCATGCATTTATTCCCTTGCCTGGCCGTGGTCCCGGCATCAGGACGTCTTCGTTAAAGCCGGCCGGGCTTAGTGAGAGTGCAGGCTCAACTTGCAGATGTTGCAAAGGCAAACAATCATCCGTCTGCGTGTGCGGGCATACGTGCATGTGTGTTGCCAAAAATCACATCACTATGTAGGGCCCGAGTAAGCCCAATTGAAACGGCATTCGTTTCTTTGTTGAAAATTCAGGCCCGTACGCCAGTTTGACTGAGCAACGCGACGTTGGCCGGCATGTGCCGGAGACCCACCAAAAAGTCTGAAGAAGCCATGCCCGAAAATGCGGTGCAAGTCTCCCATTTTAGTTGGAAGCGGCCATTTTAGGGCCACGCTGACCAATCTTGGGGGTTACTCAAAGATGGACTACTCCTCAAGAAACTTTGATAATTTAGCCCTTAAAGCCAGTTTCATTTAACACCATGAAATTCGGCAGGCTTTTTTGAAGACCCACAAAAAAAGTCTCAGGAAGCCGTGCCCAAAATTTAGGAAGGGTGCCATTTTGAACCCCAAAGAGATTCGTAGGCTGTTCCGACTCATCCATAGAACTCTACAGATGGACTAACTAAGTATTTGGGGGTGACGGGGGGCGGGCGGGATGACTAAATGTTTCTGATTATAATAAGAGTTATGAGTATCTATTGGACAGATTAAACTTTAATCAAGAGAGACGCCATACTTATGTGCTTATGAAATATCAAACTCCTTGGGTGAATAGGTGGAACATTAAGCGCAAAAGTCATAACAATGACATCCCGTTTGGTTATTTATCCAAATCCGCCTGACAGATGGACCAACAGATAATAGTGGTTGGGGCAGCGGGGTCGGGCGGATCCGGCAAGTAGCAGGATAAAGAATGGTATTATCTAATCAGAAGGCGAAGTGTATTAAATGTAGGATGACAGAGTGGGCGTTGGGCGAGAGAGAGAGAGAAAGAGAAAGACAGAAGGGACCCGTATGGCCATAAAAGACATGCTTGGATGAGTCTGACTAAGCAGCTTTGGGATGGGAACAAAAATTGGGCCTCAAAAGTTGGCACAGACTAATCCACTTTACATGATATCCAATGAGCGGCACGGTACGGACTGGTTCGCATGAGGTCGTGGGCTGGAATCGGGCCCCGGGTTTCCTTTATAGAGTTTGCACGCACTCCGCATGCCTGCGTGGGTCTTCTGCGGGTACTCCGGTTTCCTCCCCTCATTTCAAGACGGTACGGACTGGTTCGCATGAGGTCGAGGGCTCGAATCGGGCCCCTTTAAGAGGTTGCACGCACCCCGCATGCCTGCGTGGGTTTTCTGCGGGTACTCCGGTTTCCTCCCCTCATTTCAAAAACATGCAGGGCGGGTTGATGGAACACTAAAGTGCCCCAAGGTGTACTTGTGAGCACGGATGGTCGAGCATTTTTCGAAAAAGCTCGCATTGACAGCGGATTCTTACTTTGGCAATGAATCTTATGAGATTAGTCTAGCTAATGAGGTGTCCCACCAGATGTTAGTTTTCTTCCAAACATCCTGCCAGCCTGTGAATGAATTCAAGCCCATTGCCGGAGAGTGCTCCAAAAGCCGTAGCTTAGCACGTCTATTCTTGTTTGCGTGCGTGCGCTGTGCTGCCAGTCTTCATTGAGTCTCGTGTGTCATCCTCGCATCACCCTGTTGGCATCCCGGCGATGTGGAACTAAGCCGAGATGCTCACGGTCGCTAATTGCCACAGCTGTTAAACGCGGCGGTACCGCCTCTCCCCGACAAGGCGGCGTATTAGAGAATTGTCAGTTAATTTTCTGCATTGCATAATCACCATAGCGGGTAAACGATTTTGCAAGTTGGAATGTTTTCAACGGGTCTAAAAATGCATCAAGAAGAAGAAACGCTACATGTATTTATGAACTTTGAGTTTGAAAGATTTGAATCATTTGAGAAATGTGGAAGGAGACAGTCAATGCAGAAAATGTCTGCATTCCTGTGAGAAGGTTGTCATGGAAAATACTGAACAACGTGGACGTTTGGCCAACGGGATTTTCCCCAAGTTGGTCAGCGTGCAGTGACAAAACAAGCCACAAGGGGGAGCCCGCCCTTCAATTCCTCTACTCTCACGGAAAGCCAAGGAAGGATGATGAACGTGGCTTCCCAACAGAGTCAACGTGTCATTCCCAACCCTTCCTTGATTCCCACTTCGGAAAATGGCACTCTCTGATGGATGTCATGTCATTTGAGACCCGCCTTCCCTGGCTGGATGTGGTGTGGAGTGTGAAAAGAGGCGGCACAGCGCCACCTCAGGCAAACCCCGCCTCCAAAGAGGGCAGAAGTCTACTTCCGGAGCCGAGACTCCGACGACAGCGTCAGCCGTGACACAATCCTTACTTGGCATCCACTATTGAAGCCCACCCTGCCACATTCGCCCTCCCACGCCCTCCGAACGAATACGCTTGTGTCAGCATTCCGCGGAGGACAAATGAGCGGAATCCAGTTGAAAGATGCACACCATCCTGGCGGCCTTCCACTGTGGTCACAAATTTTGATGATCGTTTGGAGCCTTGGTTGTTAAAAAGATCGATGTGAATATGGGCAGACGGGTCTATCCTAAGACGAGGGACAAAGCGTCGAAGGAGCCCTGATTGAAACCAAAGACCAAGTCGGACATTTTGGCTGGAAGCAGCCGTGGCTTAGCCATGAACAAATAGCGGGAAGCGGGCCGCTTGAGTTTGAAGCAGCCGTTTTAGGCACTGCTGACGACTCTTTCCGCTGTGCACATCCACTTTGAGATTCAATCCACTTTGAGAGCTCACATCTAACATACAATTGATTAGTTAGCTTGTATTATCCACTTTGCAAAAGAAAACAGAGCCCCCTCCCCTGAGCTATGCCATAGCAGTACCACTAAAGGCTTCTTCTGTGCTCTTCTCTTTGTGTGTGTGTGTGTGTATGTGTGTGTGTGTGTGTCTCCTCCTCCTCTTCCTCGGCATCGTGCCCTCCTTAATAAGGTGTCACCTCAAAATCAACCCCCCTCCCCCGACTGCTGATTGCTTCCTTTGAGTTCATTATTTGTGCTACACTGTGTTCTCCATTTGAGTCCCACCTCTTCCTCTTAGTCTTTCTCTCTCCTCCGGCATCTGCTCCATCCCTGTCTCGCTGGCTTTCCTGCAGCTTCCTTCCTCCTCCTCCTCCTCCTCTTCCTCATTCTTGCCTTCCCGTCTGTCTGCTGCCACTCTTCCTTCTCTTCCTCCTCCTCCGTCGACCAGGATGTGGCGTTCGGCGGCTCTGCTCGTCTCGGGAATCTCGGCGTTGATCCACGGTGAGCTCTTGATGATATTCTGGATTCGAAGCGGAATTGAAGGGGGAAAGAGAGAAAGGGGGCAGGATGCGGCGGGTCACCTGTTTGCTCTGCTTACTCTCGGCCAGAGTGGCAAACGACGCAGCGAGGCATGTCATCTTCGCGTGTGACTCATAAGCAAACTGAAGCGGGGGGTTGGGGGAAGGGGAGCACGGATCAATGGAATCACACGTGTGGCTTGCCACTCTTTCATCTTGCCGCATCCCTCGTGTTTGCTTAAGTGTGCGTCGGACGTGTTGCTGCGGCTGAGCTGGGCAAACTTGACAGCATCTCACGTGTGCGTTTGTTGTCGGCGTAAAGCGGCCCCAAGCGAGATGACGGAGATATTGTGATTTAAAAAAAACCCAAACAAACAGAACAAACGAACACAACTAAAGCACGGATGTGCCATCTGTAAACCTGAAGCGAGTTTGACGCTGTGACGGTCCGGAGTTGCCGAAATGAACACGTGGAAGAAAACAGGACATTTCATTCTATTTTTTCATTATCATCATTTGTATTATTTTAAGTGTAATGGTTTATCAATCCATCGATTTTCTAGATTCCTACCCTGAACCTTAGAAGTGTGAGGTGGCGATACTCACCACTAGACCAGGGGTGTCAAACTCCTTTTTGTACTGGGCCATATTGTAGTTACGATTTCCTTGAGCGCGCCATTATGACTGTGAATTTTGTGAAAGTGGATAAATGTTGGATCATCTCCACAAATTACGTAAATGGAGAACGACAAATTGGCGGATACCTCGTTTTGAAATCAGAAATCAAGAATCATGGTTAGTTCAGCCATTGTTTATGTTCATGTAATGAGATCATGCTTGCAATATCTCTACGTAACGATGGTTTACATGTGACAATTTAAAATTTTGGTTCAGACTTTGGCAAACATCGTGGAAAAGTCGACATGCTTGATTTGCTCTCGCGGGCCGCACAAAATGATATGGCGGGCCAGATCTGGCCCCTGGGCCTTGAGTTTGACACCAAGCACTAGACTGTGCTGCCCCCCCACCCTTCCCAAAAAAAAGCGGCAACTATTTGAAAGTGAACCTCATACGTTCATGAGAGGTTCATTAGTGTCCTAATAAGCCTGATGAAGTTTCCTCCTGACACTAATTACACTTTGTTCACTGCGTGTGTCTCGCGTCCTTGTCGCACAATTTATTGAGCGGCACCAACTCGGCCGGAAAATAGTGATAAAAGGTGACAAAAGGACGACGGAAATTAATCGGTAAGCTGGCCAAAGGGCAACATTCAATTATCAAACTAGGATGGCTAATATGGGAGGGTCACACCGTGGGATGTGGGGAAAAAAAAGCCACCAACACACAGCCACATGATAAAAGAGGTAACAAAAACAATTGATTTGAACACCGCAAAGCTTTTCACCCCAAATTTGGAAGTGTCCACATTAGCATCCGTTTTGTAGTTTATTGGTTAATTTGGGCTGTTTGAACAACGCAAAGCTTTTCAACCCAAATTTGGAAGTGTCCACATGAAGCATCCGTTTTGTAGTTTATTGGTTAATTTGGGCTGAAGTGAGGTCTCCGCAACTTCACAAACTGCAGTTCCCCCCGCAACCCACCCGTATCCTTTTGCAGTGTCTTCGGGGGGTCCTCACCAGAGAAATCTGCTGAAGAGCCTGCTAAAGGACTACAACCGCATGGAGCGCCCTGTCGGGAATGACTCGCACCCGCTCACCGTCACCTTCTCGCTCAGTTTGATCCAGATCATGGACGTGGTGGGTGCGGCCGGCCCGGGGGGCAAGGTTGGGGGTAAAAAAGTGAATTAGAAACCCCATGACATGCATGCATGTGTGTGTCAAGAGCTGGTTCGACCACTACCTCCAGTGGAACCAGAGCGAGCATCCCGGAGTTAAAAACCTTCGCTTCACCACCGACCAAATTTGGACGCCAGATATTTTGCTGTACAACAGGTGAGCATCAAACACACACGCGCACGCACGTACGCACGTAGACGCGTGTCTACTCACATGTTCTAATTGGCCTGTCGGTTCCTCAGCGCCGACGACGACTTTGACTCCACCTTTAAGACCAACGTTCTGGTCAACTCCAGCGGCTATGCTGAATATTTGCCTCCGGGTAAGTCGCTCACACTTTTGGACCGAAAAGCATCGCAGCAAGGCTGAAAATAGCATCAAAATGGGAGAAAGACGTCAGAACAAAAATTGACTTTGGTGAAATTACAACTTTTTTTCTCTATTCTCAGTCGGCTAATATCGTTAAAAAAAAAAAAAAAAAAAGTTGTGGTTGTGTTCGTATTTTTGTTAATTCTATCAATAACGAATTTGTACTTTAATGTCAATAAAAATTGTAATATCAGAGTCTTAATTTTCCGAGAAAATATGTCCTTTATCACTAGAAAAAAAGACTTGTGTGAAGTCATCATTTTAAAAGTCACGAGGTTTGCTTATGAATTTCTTTGGCTCCAAAATCAAAAAGTACAAAGTTGGACTGACGTCAGTCAAAATTAGAGTTGAACAATTTGGAATTCATAGCGGATGCAAAATGTTAAATTGAGAGAAAAAAAAAAAAAAAGGAAATATTGTGGGAGAATTCGTCCAAAGTCAAATTGGGGAAATAAGGTAAGATGAACTGAACGAGCCAATCGCCCTAATGCTCCTTCCCTCCTCGTCCTGCCGTCACTCGACGCGCAGGATTTTGCGTTCACAATTCAGCATTCAGCACGCGCCGCTGCCGACGCCCGCAAGGTGAACACGCCGTTGACATATTGCCAGCGCCTCCAAATAGGCCGCACACGCTTCCTGTTTAACCCCGAAGCGCAGAGCGCCGTTACGCCGAGCTGGCAGGCAGGCAGGCCCGGCATGTTTCGCAGCCGCCGCTTTGCCCTCTGTGCCATGTTTATTAATAGCGTTCTGCGGCGTGTAAATAGCTCACCGCCGAGATTAGGATCAGGGAGAAGTAAGGGAGGGGATGGGGGGGGGGGCGGAATGAGGCGCTTGTTTCAATCTGATTGCAACAAACAAATTCATCCATCCATTTTCAAAGACGCGTCTCCTCACGAGGGTCCCGGGCGTGGTGGAGCCTATCCCGGCCGTCTTCGGGCAGTTGGCGGGGGACATCCCAAGCCGGTTGGCAGCCAATTGCAGGGCTCACACTCACACCTATAGGGGCAATTTAGAGTCTTCAATCAGCCTGCCAAGCATGTTTTTGGAATGTCACAGGAAGGCCCGAGTGCTAACCAGTCGACCACCGGTGCCGCACAAACAAATCCATATGCAGGATAACGTTTAGTATTATTTTTTTGTATGCAAGTCAAGGCCTCGCTCCCAGTCTGCAGTTGTGTAAAGAACACATTTTAAATTGCGGAGTATCCAAAGATCTTAAGAAGTTTTCTGGAACACTTTGGCGGAGACTTGATCTGAAAATGTGGAAAAGCGGCGACATTTGCGAGCGCGGGGGCCTGCAAATGACACATTGGTGAGAACGAGGCTCCTTAAAAATGATGGACGTTTATTTTTGGGACTGTGTGGAGCGAGAGCAAGAGCGAGAGAGAGCCAGCGAGTCTTGTTTGTGAGTGTCGCCTCAAGGTTACAAGATGGATATCTTGCGGGAGGCGAGCGGAGGAGACGCGAGGCACGCCGCCAACAACCAAGGCGCCGGCCAAGGCATGTAATATGATAGCCCCGCTGGACATGACATTAGGGACAGTGTTCAACTACTTCCACCAAAAAAAACCCCCAAAAAACCCCATTTTGGAACCTATCACTCACCGATTGGCTGTTTTTTTGTGGAGCTTCGTTGTGAAAAGAGCCCTCTTGCTGCCTTCCGGTAGGTGCAGGGCAGTGTACACCATTTCAGGGAGGCGTTACCTACTCGCAAATGTTCACTGTTCATGGCAGGACTTTTTCAACCAATTTTTTTTTTTTAATTTTTCATACTGCACTATTGCTCTCCTAGTAATGTACCTTTTTTTTTTTCTTTTTCTATTCCCGCCCCCCATATATTTAGGTTCTGCTTTTAACAACTAATGATTCTATCACTGTTGCTTAAAGCGCTCTACTGGACGATTCTCGATCGCACTTGGAGACCACGGAATAAAAATGCAATACAAAAAAAATGTATCAATAATTAATGGAATGGGGCGAGTCCCAATCACGATATCAGGATGAGACGAGCCTTATTTCAAGGGCGCTGATACCAACTAAATTCTACACGCTGTATCTTTAAAAGATTACATACTGCTGTAATTTATGATTATTATCATTATCTATGAATTTTTTTTTTTTTCATGAAAAGGAAAACAAAATCCATGCAATGTCGTTTACGTGCCGGGGTGAGTCGTCCAATCACGTCCGTCCTCGCAGGCATCTTCATGAGCACGTGCAACGTGGATGTGCGCTGGTTCCCTTTCGACGTCCAGAAGTGCGTCCTCAAGTTCGGCTCGTGGACGTACGACGGCTGGCTGCTGGACCTGCAGATGAACGAGGCCGACATCTCGGGCTACATGCCCAACGGCGAGTGGGACCTCATAGGTCAGCCTTCAACACAGGTACAGGTTATCGCAAGCTCCCCCCCAGCTGTACCCAAGCCGAGATTTCGACTCGGTAGGGGTGCCCGGCGCCCGGAACGAGGTTTTCTACGATTGCTGTAAGGAGCCGTACCCGGACGTGACCTTCATGGTGACCATACGGCGAAGGACGCTCTACTACGCCCTCAACCTGCTCATCCCCTGCATGCTGATGTCCTCCATGACGCTTCTCATCTTTGTGCTGCCCGCAGACTCCGGAGAGAAGATCTCGCTGGGTGAGCAAAAAAATCCAATGAGAAATACATTTCAGGACAGTTCTCTCTTTAAGAATAATGAGAATTGAAAGATAATAGCATGATGAATAACAAATGAGAAAACATACAAAAAAGAAACAGAACGATAGAGTAACAAATAAAACGGACATAAAATGTAAAAAACAAACTAAAACAAAACAAAAAAACTAAAAGCCTCTTCTATGTAAGGACACTAGGGCATCCTTCCTTTCTCTTTCCTTTTACGCCCAAATATTTCTGCCAGCTAAGCATTTTTGGGAATCGTTTGTGTTTGGAGTTGTGCAGTACACAACATATTAAAAAAAAAAAAAAAAAAAAATCATGGATGAGCCCTCGCGGTTGTTCATCAAGAAACGTTGGCTGCTCGCTCAGCCACGGGATCCATGTTTACTTTCAGCATGGGATCGATTCAATATTTCGTTTCTTTCAAGGCATCACCGTCTTGCTGTCACTGACCGTCTTCATGTTGCTGGTGGCCGAGATCATGCCGGCCACGTCCGACTCGGTGCCGCTCATAGGTACATCTTTATTCGTATTTTTGCTTGGGAACTAAAGGGCTCCTGGAACCGAGCGGATCCGTTGTCACCGTCGCCGTTTTTCTGGCTCAAGTTCCGGGAGCTTTTTGGTCGCGGGTACTTTCGATGCGCGTTCCAAAACAATTCAACGTAATCCTGTTCTCTCCTCTTCCAGGTCAGTACTTTGCCAGCATAATGATCATCGTGGGTATGTCCGTCATCGCCACCGTGGTGGTCCTACAGTACCACCACCACGATCCCAACGGAGGGAACATGCCCAAATGGGTGAGGCTCCCGCTGTACACTCCCCCACACAGCCCTCCTTTCATCCCCGTTTTGATCCATATTTAGGTTATACTTATTTTTCTCTCCTCCCCCGCTGACTCCCCATGCATGCAGCGAGTGACTCATCTTGGGCGCTGTCAGTCTGCCTGGTTTAATGTATGCTGTGCCTGGATGCCTTTTAGACCGCATCGCTCTCATCTTAGTTTTCCTTTCCTTGCTTCGTGCCGCAGCTCGACTTCAGGTCATAATCTGACTGCAAATGGCGCCGACACTGAAAGTAGCGCATTGGGACATCTGGCTGGAAAATGTTGCCATCCTAAAACCCGGATCATTTTCACAACATAGTGTCTGTTCACCTGAGCCGCAGAGAGAGTCGGGGTAGTGATGTAGCATCCGCACAGCAGTTTGGGTAAAGCGGCATTGCCCTTGTGGATGACTCCAGCTCTGCGTCGGCAGGAACATGCGGCAGTACCTCTCCTCCTTGCAGTGCGGGTGTATCAGTCTCTGGCTGAAGGTGCTGTCAGGGTGGCCTGGAGTGGGTGGCAGGGTCTGTCCATCATAGCTGTTAGCTTAGCTAGCATCCTTCTGTTGCCCACCAGAGTGTCCAGGGAGCAGCCCAGGACAAAACTGGCCATACATCAATCACTTTTTGACCTAAGCGGAATCATCTACCTCGAATCTAGGAAGTGCATTTAATTTCTTCCAATCTGACTCCGGTGTAGCGTTATGGCAGCCATTCATCATGCAACTCGACATAATTCAACAGGCATAGATCAATAACTTTTTGACAGACGGGGAACCATTTACCTCTCTCGTTCTGATGAAGGGTGCTCCTGAACCTTCTGTGTCCAGGTGAAGCTGGTCCTTCTCCAATGGGTGGCATGGTTCCTGCGGATGAAGCGGCCCGGTGAGGCAGAAAAGCCCCGGCGGCCCCCTTGCGCCCCCCACCTACGCCGCTGCTCCTCTGGCTCCCACAGCGGGAGCATCCCCAACCACGGCGACCCAACCCCGCACCCACTGCAGCCGCAGAATCTGGCCCCTCTCCACCAAGCCCACCTCCACGTGCAATCCAGCGCCAACAACGGGAATCTGCTCTACTTCCAGGGGACGGAGGAGCCCACGTTGTTGTGTGACGCCGCCCAGAGGTGCAGTAGCATCCCCGTGGGGCCCCGCAGCCCACCCCCGCACCTGCCTCCTCACCTCTGCGGATCCCCGCCGCCTCCCACCCCCAACCTGGACGGGGTCGGGTGCCCCAGCACCGTCTCCGGCGGCGGTGGCGGCTTTGGAGTCGGCATGGCCGGCGGACCGTGCCAGGCCCCGGGCCACGGGGACCCGCTGCTTCAGGCCATCCTGGAGGAGGTACGCTACATGGCGGATCGGTTCCGCCAGCAGGACCAGGCGGAGTGCGTGGCCGACCAATGGAAGTTTGCAGGCGCGGTCATCGACCGCCTGTGCCTGGTTGCCTTCAGCGTCTTCAACATCATCTGCACCATCTCCATCCTCCTGTCGGCGCCCAACTTTGCCGATGCCGTTTCCAAGGACTTTGTGTGAAAAGCCGCGAGGGGGAGCGAACCGGATGATGGGGGAGTTAAGGTATCAAGCGGGCTCGGATCCAGTGGGACTCCACATTCTCCGGTGGGCTCAAGAGTGGGACACAAAGGAAAATATGTGCATTTCTTTGCACTGGACTGACTGAATTCGATGACGAAAACGGATCAAGAAGGGGAGTCAAAGCTTTTGGAAGAGATCAGAGCTGTGACAGAGGCGGGACACTGTCTGCGTGAAATGGAATAGCATGAAGTCAGAACAGGCTTAAAAACTAAATTGGCAAGAGCGCCTTTGCTGGACTCTGCAGGCCGGTTGTGGATCCCACGCGGCTCTTTTTTCCCCCCACCTGTGTAAAAAGCAAGAGCAGGTAACGGGGGTACTGTTACGTCTTGGATGCGTCTATTTTAAAAGATCTCCGTGTAAAAGGCATCGCGATAAGAAGAATCCTCGTTGTCAAAGCCAGCATTTTCCCACCTTTATTCCTTGACATACTGACACAGAATGGGGGTGGGGTGGGGTGGGGGATAAAAGAGACTTGGCTCCCATTTGCTGTGTTTGGTCAGGAAGGCAATTTGCGGCTAATTTTATGGCCCTCAATGTGGAAGAATCTCAATTATGTACAGTGATTAGATTGAATTGTATTTTGTACTTTGCTAGGTTCTGTGTGAAAGGTGCAGGCGGACAAATGCCAGGTATTCTTGTACGGGTTGCGGGTAACCTGTGTGGAAGTGGCTCAACGCTTAACGAGTGTTAAGGCTAACATGCAGGATACATTCAGGTTCACTGGGTTATGTGAAAAAGCTAAAGCCAGGTAGACTTTGGCCAGTTATGGCTCTGATGCGGCTATTTTGCAAGATCCCCGTGTGAATGAAGCTCCAATGAAGGACTCAGCGGAGAACAAAAACAAGGACATGCAGATTAATTTTTTTTTTTCTGGCAGAGCAAACTGTAAGAGAACATGGTGCTCATCCATTATTCAAACCACAGCGTCTCATGGCCGTCAAATTAAAAGGTCCTCCCGTCGTCTTTACGCGCAACTAATCGGCTTTGAAAAGATGACCTGGGCACTTAACATTTCCAAGGGCCTTATTCTCCCCGCAGTTAACGCGCCTCCGCAAAATGAATTAAAGAAGAAGCGAGCAAAAGTGCCGCATCAGCAATTTAGGGCAGACACACGTAAACTGTGCCACTCAAATCAGAATCGAGTTCGACTCAGCGATGGCATGAAATGGGATTTTTCCAGGTGGTGGAAACCCACTTGTATAACTATTATTGGATGTTCAATGTTTGATCAAGCGCTTTGTTACAGCTGCAACTGTTGTAAATAAAGATGTATTGTATTGGAAGCACGGAGTGCCAGGAAACCTTCCACAGACATACCAGGGGCCTCAGAAAGGGCAAAAAAAACCCCCAAAAAGCAAATTCCTCGTGCGTTTTTACATACTTGGCCAATAAATCAGATTCTGATTCAGGTACCACTTTAAAATCTCTCTCACACACACACACGCAAATGACAATTTTTCATTGTAAATTTATTCAAGATTCCGCCAAATCTACACGGATGAAAAACACCCATCACTAGCACATTTGGCAATGTGTATTCGGTAACTTTATTTAAAATCATGTTACAATTTCTTACTCTACAATTGTCCATTTTGACGTTTCTTCTTTTCTCGGTAGGTCAATCCTTTGTTGACTTTTCTTTTCCAAGATAAAAGCAAACTCTTGATAGCCTTACGAGTTGTCGTTTGTCTTCGGCGTGTGCTTCTAAGCACAATTCACAATAATCCATCGTGACTGTCGCCCCCCCCCCAACACACAAATAAAAGTAACATGGAAAACCCCCCCAACAAAAAACAGCACTTAGATCCGCGAAAGACGTCACTGTCTGTCCTAAATAATCGCTTCTTTCTTTCAGTCACGGCCTGATCGTAGGCTACATTCATTGAAAAACTGACTGGTTTGCGCAGAGGAATTAAAACAAACAATGGTGAAATGAATATCAGTCACAGACCAAACAAAGCCTGCCGCTATGTGATGAACAGAACCTCAAAATAACCACTCTGGGGAAGGTGTGTGTGTGTGTGTGTGTGTGTGTGTGTGTGTGTGCGTGCGCGCGCGCGCGGTCTGTGACTAATATACATGTACTGTCTGGCAAAGTGAATGTAAACTTTCAAATAAAATCGAAAGGACAAAACCAAGGTGGACTCGGTGGAGAGAAATATATCATCTGAGTCAATTTTGCTCATCGAGGAATTTGGTTAGCAAGGCAGTCCAATGGGCTCAGCAGGTTATTGTTGTTTGTGTATACGTACGTGTACGTTCGCGATCCGTCCACCCATTCTCAAGAGCCTCCTGAATATAAAACCTCGAGATTTGACCCTCAAAACAGCGACGCAGATGTGCTAACCACTACCTTGTCAATGTTTACCCGAGTGGGGACACTGAGGGATCCATTTAAGGATAGTCTTGACTAATAGTGCGTTAGCTTCTATTTTACTTCATTTGTTTAAGGAATTACACGATGTTCTGACGCTCTTGGCACACAACATCTAGTGGGATCCGTAAGATTCTGGTCGCCTTGAACAAGGTGACATTCAACTCACTGATGGCAGAGAATGACAGCACATGTACATCTAGCGCACGCGCGCACGCACACACGCACACACACACACAAGTCCAGGCCTCGACTCCATGACAAGCGGAATTAGCCGATTTGCCAGGACTGAAAAACGAACAGTCGTGCGGGGCTGCTGATGGTGCTGCCGTGGCAACCATATTGCAGCGTAATGATAGCAGAGCAACCTGAAGAGGAAAAGGACGACGGGGGATGGGCAGACGAGAGAAAACGGTTCATCTATCTTCTAAATGACCGTATTTCCTCTACTTGTACTCAAATAAATGCCTCCCATTTGCCCTTCCGGAAATAAACCAACGTGATGATCTTATCTGATAGCAGCTCAAGTCGCGGCAGAGGTCATAAGCGCCTGCAGAGCAGACGTGGCATCTATAACGCTGATGTTTAACAGAGAAACCGAAGTGGAAACACTACTTGGCCGCTATACGAGCTAAAGTGACGGTATATTCGCCAATGGTGTGCTTTTTGCGCTCAAATACCCCCCTCTCATTTTCCCTAAGGTAGACCCCATTCCCAGCAAGCAGAGCAGACGCGGCATCCGTGAAGCTGGCACTCACAGAGAATCCCAACCGAGCACCGTTCGGAGAGCTGCCGGCATGCGAGTGAGACAGCTGGCCGCGGAGCTCGGTTAGTTAGACACGCGCATACACACTTCTTGACATGGTTCATGGAGCCACCTGCAAATGAGGCAGACTTAGCTGGCTGAGCCACACAGCCCCCCAGGCATCACATTCTCCCCAAACACGACTAAGCACTTGGCATCTGCTGCCCCCTTTCGTTCGTTAAGAGAACTGCAGGCTGTGACACAGGGAACCCCCGACACCGATTAGGCCGCAAACGGAGATCCCCCCCGACCCCAATGCAACATTTTATGGAAAGCATCCGTTCCAGATCATTGATATCCAGCTTCAAGTCCATACTCCTCACTAGTAACACAATTCAGTGCACCACTCGAACGACTGTGTCAAATTAGCAAAAGGTTTTTTCTTCAGGTATTGTGCCACGTTTGGCCGACGAGTTAATGACTGCAACCACTACTAGTAGATCCTGATTGGCAACTAGTGCGTGAAATAGGCCTACTAGGTGAGCCCACTCGTGTTAGTAGTGCAGCACAGTAGACATGATTAAGTGCTTATTGCTAGTCATGAAAAACGAAACAAAACAAAATTCAAAACACTGATGTTGGTGGATTAATTAGTGCGCTGAATGATCTTACTGAGGACATCGATGATGATCAAGGACAATGAATAAATGCTCGAATGGCTTTCCATACAATTCATGTTCGATCAATAAATCAATAATGATAGCTCATATTAATCTATATTTGATCAGGAAAAACAGCTTGTTAAATGTACACATAATTAGAACAGTTACATGTTGTTTCACCTGTGGTTTTTTTTTTTTTGGACAAAATAACAACAACAAAAAAGACCCCACTAATAGAAAACTTTGTTGTTCATGTCTGGCGTCGGACTTCGCATCTTTCGGTCTCGCAAAAAAAGAAAAAAGAATTCTTCTCATTTAGTCCGCTTCCCTCCTTTTTGCTTCCCGCTCTGTCAGTCGCATGGGCGCACTGGAGGCCAAGTACGTAATTCCGCCGCTGGCGGTCCCATTTCCAGAATGCGCTTCTGTCCGTCGCCCGCCGAACCGACACGGGAGAGCAGCGTCTCACAGACACTCGGTATGGAGATCCGGGAATTAAATGAAAGCTGAATTCCCTTCATTGCTCATCTTGCTAAGTGTCCCTGGCTTAGTGTGTGACGTGTTCCTCTTCCCTCCCCTTGCGGGAAAAAAAAAAAGCTTGATTCCATTTTAAGCTTTCTCAGGGGGTGCGGCCCGCCTCCCTCAAGTCTTGCTGTGGTGGATGGGCGCGCTCTCGGGGTGGGTGTGACGATGCAAGTGGAATGTGGGACGGGTTTGCGGTGTTGCGTTCGTTTAAGATGTGGCAATCTCCCCCCCTAGGTGGCGCCATCCCTTCTGCTGCGTCTCCAGGGGTGACAGAAACTCTGCAACACAGAGCCACGGACGAAAGAACATGTCACCGGCGGCATACAGTCAGGCCCAGGACATCCTCGTGTGGCCCCTAGAGCATTGGACACGGGTCGCCACGCATTTCCCAAACGCAATCTCAGAGGAGCCGTTATTTGAAGCCCCAAATCAGCGAACCCACAAATGGTCACCGATAGCCCTTTTCCACCCAAAACAAACTTGGTGCTCGTCGGGCGCCAGGGCCAGCGCTGTGCTTAGTTGGCATTCAACAAGTTCTTACAAAGAACATGTTTGGTTTTCCACCGGCAAAGAGCCAGGGCGGAGCAAAGTCGTGACGTCATCGTAAAGCGTCACAACGTCACCGCTTACGTCGACGTCAACCGAAGAGAGCGTACTCTATTCACAATACCATCTGCTAGGCAACTTAGCATAGCATCTATTCTATTGTATGTAGTATATGACAGTCGGCGACATGTCATCAGCAAAGGCTCCTATCTTTCTGAATCATGATCACGAGGCCGGCAGCGAGTCGGATATCGCATGCGAAACAACTCCCCTAGGCTTGTCCTTTCAGGCTTTGTCAAACAAGAGCGTGGACGCCGAGTAGGTCACTTGAAAAATTCCTTCCCTTGTGGTTCGGCTCGCAAGTTCCGAAGAATGTTGTTATTTCATGTTTTGCACGCCTACCGTTGTTGCTGCAGTTTTTGTTGTCTTTATCAGAAGCCTCTTCCTCAACCTGAGTGAAAAGACGACCACAATTAATTCAGGGCGCGGACGCGCACACACACACACACACACACAAAGACTTTTTCTGTCTGGGTGTTTCCAAAGATAAGGTGAAGAATAAGCCATTTTTAGACATTTGAACTTGGGAGTCGTGCGCTTCCCCCCACCCCCCCAGAACGGGAAAGGAAAGGAGTGGTCCCTACCTGCTTCCTCCACTTGAGCTCACAAAACACTCGCTCGAAGCACTCGTGCATGTAGTTGAACTGCCGCACAAAACCAAACGACACAGACGCAAGTCAGTGCGGGAAGCTTTTTGCGCTCTTTGCTTTGATCCCATCTGTTTGCCGATCAAGCGAGTGCATCGGTGGGTCTCCACTCACATATGGAGTGAAAATCTTGACCCAGCGAGGCTTCTTCTCCCCTCGGGCGTACTCGAAGCAGAAGGCCATGCCCTCCTCGTCCGTGTCCCAGCGCTGCATCTCGCCCCACTCGAAGGCTATCACCTGGTTCTGAGTGGGACCGAGGGCACACCGGGAGCTTTCATAGCGAGTCGCATTGCCCGCGCTCAGTCGCTCAAATAAACCGTCGTTTGTGTTCTTTCCTCAAAAGAATGGATTTCAAATGAAGCAAAACCACTTCATTGACTCAACACGGTGCCCACACAGTTTCTCCGCCTGTCATCGGCTCGGTGGAGTGACGATCCGTCGCCACATTCTGCACCGTATGAGCAACTACAGTATTTGAGTTTTGCCGTTACGATGTTAGGGCTGCAACTCATGATTATTTGAAACAATCTGTTCATCTGACAATTATTAACGGATGAATCAGATTAAAGAAAAAACAACAACAACAAAAAAACATGTTTTCAAAAACAGGTCATTATTTCAAATCAACAGTGCAGAGAATGAACAAACTACTTATTATTCAGTGACTGGTTTGGTCCAGGACATATCAGAAAATTGGCAACGAGTAATCATCGATTAATCTGCTAATTTTGGTCATTGTTGGTGAACCGTGGCAGCTGGCACACGCTTACCTCCAGCGCGCCGTCCTCGCTGCATGCGTGCAACTTGAAGTGATGGATGCTGATGGCCGTGATGACGTGGCCCTTCCTCCGGGAGTCGCAGGAGCAGTGGGGGAAAACCACCTCATTGTAGCCTTCGCATGTGCGCAGCTGGCTCAGGTACTGACGGGCGACACACACACACACACACACACAAACATGTGAAAAATTATATCTCGATTATCAGCTCTGAGCTGTCACTATAAATCAGGGGTTCTCAAATGATTTTTTTTTTTTTTTTGAGGAGGATGTTTGCAACCAGCCACGAGAATTACCCTTTCTCCAATTGATGAGAAAAAAAGAAAAGAAAATGCTCTACATTTGCTACTGAGGCAGATGTCAAGCTAACCGGAATGGCTAACAGCTCGTTTCCACTCATGTTACTTCACAGAGCCCAGAGGAGTAGTGACACAATTTCTGAAAAATAGTGACATCAACTGTCCTACTGTTTTTATTTTATGTAGAAAACTTTTTTGTGGTTACATTTTCTCAAATACTGCATGTGATTCAGACATAAATTCGTTCAGTGGAAAATAATTTTTATGGGGGTTCAAATTTGTGTTGATTAGAAATACTTCAAAAATAATAGATTTACCAGGAAGCCACATCCCCCCCCCCCTTTTTTTTTTTTTAATTCATACCGTCGGTCCTATAGCGGCCCGTGAGACTGAAATGAGACACCGTTTCATGCCTATTGCTAACACGCCGGGGGGTTTTATTCTAAAGGCTCTTTCTGTTCATCTTTGTGAACTTCCAGTCATAGCTCTCGTATGTGTAGTAGCACTGCCCCAAGCCCCCGGCCCGGACAAAGATGGTTCTGTGGCACTGACCGTGGCCATCTTGCGCTGCTCTGCCAGCTTCTGCAGCTGGTAGGATTTGTCCTCTGTTTTTATGAATCCCTTCTTCACATCATCCAGCGCCTAGATGGCAACGGCGAGGAGAGGAGGGGGGGAAAAAAAAAAACAACATTCAGGCGCTAGACACTTTTTTCTTCCTTCGTTGGCAAAAAGACCCGAGTCTGACGAGACTAATCGTTACCTGGTGAAAGCAGTAGTGCAGCGCCAGCGGGTTGTCTCGGAGCAGGTCCTCCTCCTGGAAGCTGAAGAGCCACTTGCGGAGTGCCAGGCAAGTGCCGGGCACGGCCGACGTGTAGTTCTGTACATAAAGCTTGTGCGGGAACTCGTTGGGCGCCAGCTTTCGCACTTGCAGTGGAAGACAAGAACTATATCATATATTCACTGTATTGAAAAAAATATAGATATATATACACACACACACACGCGCACGCACACATGCATACGCGAGGATGGATGTATTTATGAAAGCTCGGGTCACCTTTGTGGCTACCGCTTAACGTGACAACTACATACAACTAAGCTCTTACCAAATGTATGATTGATGACCTCAAACAGGGCAAAGTAGCTGGCCATAATGCTGTCCATTCCCACCTTCACCACCAACGCCTACAGGAAGCACAATCATTCGTGTTGACTACATCAAGATTTGGGGGGGGGGAAATTGAGGAAATCGGCTTGCGGAGGGGTCCCCTCGACCTGGTAAACTTGATCTGTGGTGCTGTTCTTGCGCACCCTGACAGAAATGGTGGTCTTGTCAGGCAGCGCGACGCGCAGCTCCACGTCTGTCACGCCGTTGTAGTTCTGCGCGGTGAAAGGAAAGACAAGTGTGGCTTGTTGCATGCCCACTGAACGTTTACACCAACAAGGGCCCTGTAATACTCTACTGTATTCATTTGACAGGTTTTTCCTGTATTTGGTTGACTGCAATGTGCTGATTCCTTTTAGCTCATTATATAATGAATACCTTGATTTGTTGTAAGTCATGGAATAAAACAGGGTGCCCCAACCATTTGTGTTCGAAAATCTACTTTACAAGCAGCCAACCACCCGCATGTGCACGCACACGCATCTGCACGAGCGCGTTCCCATAAAGGCGCATAGGCACGCACACCTAGATGATGATGAGCAACGGCCACGACGGACCCTGTAATAAAGACAATGAGCGCGGTATTTCATGTCAACACCGCATATTTTGCTGTATTTCCCAGGTAGGATTTTGTGTGGTTATATACGGCTCCTTTAATACAGAACAAGTCATGTACCTCGTCTGATTCCGAGAGAAACTCCTGCATGATGTCGCTCTCCCCGATCACTCGTACAGAACAAACTAGACGTATGGGGGGAGATGAGAATATAATCAAATAAACATCTTAGGGCCTCAAAACATCAACGCGCGCACCTCTCTCCAGGTATTCCTCCAGTCCGCGGCGGCGGGCGTCCAGCTGCTGCTCGGAGAGCGAGAAGGGCCACTTGCCGGGCAGCTTGGGGAAGTTAAAGTTGGAGAACTCGCGCTTCAGGTTCTGGCTGAGGATAGCAAACTCTCGGTAGCGCTTGGAGCACAGCTGCCGGCCCGACATGTACACGTTGTATACCTAAGAAGAGGCAATTGCACACCAATGTCATAACCTGCACCTTCTTAGCACTTGTCATAACCTAAAATATGAAATCTCTCAAAAAATGCACAGAAATGTGCAGAAACATCACTACCGTAGCTCACGTGTACCATTTTAAAGTGTTGCTCCTGGCGCCCCAGATTCCCATACTTTGACAATGCCATCGGTGAATTGCAGATCAAACTAACTTTGAATCATAATTTTTAAAAAAACAACAAGAAAAAAACAGATGTTTGGCAACAGCTCTGATTGCTAGCTACAATCGCAAACTGCTGACCGCCAGCAATTTCCTATGATGCAGGTTAGGCGCCCCCTCAGGTTAAAGGTGACCTACTTTTTTTATATTGTTTTTTTTTTTAAAAAGTGCACAGTGTTTCCCCCCCAAAACAAGTAAGTACTTACCACAAACCTCTCGGAGTGCTGCTCCACGTGCTTGTACGTGGGGATGGAGATGGGCACGGCCTGTTTGTCGCTGTAGTCGTAGTTGGGTTGGATGTCCTCGCCTCCCTCCAGGCCATCAACCTCCTGCGGTGGGACCGACAGCACGGCCAGGACCAGCTCCTTCTCGCCGGCACGAATCAGGTCCACCACCTGCTTGTGGGTGGCGCCCTCCACGCTCACACCGTTGCTGGACAAAACACACACCGCTGTGTTAACTTACGAATGCATGCTGTCTGGCTGAAGGCATTTCTGGAGCCGAATGTGTCTTACTGCGGTGTTTTTTTTTTTCTTTATAAAACGCTTGATCGCCAGTGACCATGTACACGGTTGTCACTGGGGTAACAAATGAATAACCGAGCTGCCTCTCTTGCTTTATGGTGTTGTCACACACCTGCTCGGTTGGCTTGGCAGATGGCAGAGGCGCCAAATGGCGATTTATTCAACACCGCAATTCTCCCTTTCACGGAATCAAAAATGGTCAGTGTTGATTTTTTTTTTTTTACATGCAGTGGGTCTCCACGACACCATCCAGCCCGCAAAAGATCCGCTTCTACAACAACACATTTCCCTCATAGTGTGACAAAATAACATCAGATATGAGACCAAAACCACACTCGCTGCAAAATACTGACTTGCAAAACGGATTCATTTGTATTTAGCAAAATCGCTAAGCAGGCTGCTTTTCAAATGACATCAAGTGGCTCAACACCCAAACACTCTTTTCGGCACTTGAGATTTCTGATGGCTAAGCAAACGAGGAGCAAGCTCGTTTCAGTTCCCTCCGTGTGATTTTAGCCTTTCTGATCCCCAGGGTCACGTTCGCATGTCTCATGACTTTCAGATAGGAGGATATATTCTGGAAAAATGACTTTTTAATTGCTTGCATATAAATAGGGTCTCTAGAGTCCCTGCACACCCATCAAGTATGAAAAAACATTTTTGAAAATCCGTCTGTGAGACAGCCTTTCTTTTCACAAATTATGATGTAACAGAACAGCTAACTTCAACTAAAAAAAAATGGGCCCATCAGTTTTTCCATCCATTACTTGGAAGCCAGGCTGGGTGTAGATCGAACGCCTTCAAATCAACAGCTGCACTACACCGACTGAAGCGCAAGCGGCACGAATTTTGAAGCTGTAGATGCAGTTTCTAGCCGCTACATGCAACGCACACAATTCTGCAGACTTAACAAGTGTGATTCAACGGAGATGAAGTGTGGAATTTGTGAGGGAAAAATACAACCCATAGCTTCTTTGCATTTTAGTCTTAGCTCTGCAAATGTGAACTCTTAAAAAAAAAAAAAAAAAGTACTCGTCATTGGGCTTGCTTGCTTAAGACAGGACGCCCCCCTCTAAACAAGCTAATTTCAGCAAAACAAAAAGCTGGGGAAATTTAGAGTAGATTGAAATGATATCATGCATGGGCTGCTTAAAATTGTGCAGACTTCAAAAGATTTGGAAGACTCCCTTGAAAGTTTGCTATCAGATCATGTATGTTTATGGCACACTGCACTATGAACCACTGCACCATTAAATTTTTTAGGGCATGCTTAACACACAAGTGTCCAACTCCATCCTTGAGGGCCAGTATCCAGCCTGTTTTAGATCATAGATCAGGGGGTCTTGAAGTCTGGTGCCCTGGAGCCCCTATCCAGCCTGTTTTATATGTCTCTGGTCCAACACGTCTGATACAAAGGACCAGAGTCATTAACAGAATCCCGCAGAGCTTGCTGACGAGCTGTTCTTTATAAAACGCTTGATCGCCAGTGACCATGTACACGGTTGTCACTGGGGTAACAAATGAATAACCGAGCTGCCTCTCTTGCTTTATGGTGTTGTCACACACCTGCTCGGTTGGCTTGGCAGATGGCAGAGGCGCCAAATGGCGATTTATTCAACACCGCAATTCTCCCTTTCACGGAATCAAAAATGGTCAGTGTTGATTTTTTTTTTTTTACATGCAGTGGGTCTCCACGACACCATCCAGCCCGCAAAAGATCCGCTTCTACAACAACACATTTCCCTCATAGTGTGACAAAATAACATCAGATATGAGACCAAAACCACACTCGCTGCAAAATACTGACTTGCAAAACGGATTCATTTGTATTTAGCAAAATCGCTAAGCAGGCTGCTTTTCAAATGACATCAAGTGGCTCAACACCCAAACACTCTTTTCGGCACTTGAGATTTCTGATGGCTAAGCAAACGAGGAGCAAGCTCGTTTCAGTTCCCTCCGTGTGATTTTAGCCTTTCTGATCCCCAGGGTCACGTTCGCATGTCTCATGACTTTCAGATAGGAGGATATATTCTGGAAAAATGACTTTTTAATTGCTTGCATATAAATAGGGTCTCTAGAGTCCCTGCACACCCATCAAGTATGAAAAAACATTTTTGAAAATCCGTCTGTGAGACAGCCTTTCTTTTCACAAATTATGATGTAACAGAACAGCTAACTTCAACTAAAAAAAAATGGGCCCATCAGTTTTTCCATCCATTACTTGGAAGCCAGGCTGGGTGTAGATCGAACGCCTTCAAATCAACAGCTGCACTACACCGACTGAAGCGCAAGCGGCACGAATTTTGAAGCTGTAGATGCAGTTTCTAGCCGCTACATGCAACGCACACAATTCTGCAGACTTAACAAGTGTGATTCAACGGAGATGAAGTGTGGAATTTGTGAGGGAAAAATACAACCCATAGCTTCTTTGCATTTTAGTCTTAGCTCTGCAAATGTGAACTCTTAAAAAAAAAAAAAAAAAGGTACTCGTCATTGGGCTTGCTTGCTTAAGACAGGACGCCCCCCTCTAAACAAGCTAATTTCAGCAAAACAAAAAGCTGGGGAAATTTAGAGTAGATTGAAATGATATCATGCATGGGCTGCTTAAAATTGTGCAGACTTCAAAAGATTTGGAAGACTCCCTTTAAAGTTTGCTATCAGATCATGTATGTTTATGGCACACTGCACTATGAACCACTGCACCATTAAATTTTTTAGGGCATGCTTAACACACAAGTGTCCAACTCCATCCTTGAGGGCCAGTATCCAGCCTGTTTTAGATCATAGATCAGGGGGTCTTGAAGTCTGGTGCCCTGGAGCCCCTATCCAGCCTGTTTTATATGTCTCTGGTCCAACACGTCTGATACAAAGGACCAGAGTCATTAACAGAATCCCGCAGAGCTTGCTGACGAGCTGGATACCAAAGGATTGGATTTGACACCTGTGTGTTAAGCGCTATATATTAAAATCGTTATCTGGCTTTAGACCTCAAAGGACCACTCGCAAGGCACATTTAGAGTATGAATGTTTATGTAAATGCTCCATAAAAGAGGGCTGCAAACACACACGGCGACGACGAGTCGGAGGGGCAACGCTGCGGTCCACTATTCTCAAGAACCACCGCGGTTCAAACGGCCAAAATCTCGGGAAAACGCCAGAGAGGCTGCCTTATAAATATCGAACTCGCGTGGAATGAGTGTGTCCGGGTGAAAACGGGGAGGGCAACCGCGGGCTGTCTCGACGAGACGCTAGCTACCTGGGCTAGCTGCTTGGCTGGAGCTAATCAACATGTACAGCCCGTAGTGGAAGTTATATAAACTGATTGACGTCTAACATGGCCCTTGTTATTTAAAACGATGTCTGGCAACGCGGGTGGTGACGAAAACCATGACGGGTGGCTAATAAACACACGCTTAAGGGGAAAGAAGCAACAGTTAAACGTCAAGGCTAGCGACGGTGGCTACCAGTCGGTGACGAAGCCGACTTACACCTCCAGGATCCGGTCACCTTTGGCGATGCCCGCCCGGTCCGCAGCCCCGCCGGGCAGCACGGCGCTGACGTGCTGGAGAGGAGCGTACAGTTCTCCGTTGATACTCCGCAGTTGGCCACCTTCGCTGACCTGCCCTCGGACGTTGAAGCCATAGCCCGACTCGGACTTGACTATCCGCACCATCCGCGGACCCGACGTGGCCGTGGCCGTGACCGGGCTGAGGGCCGCGGAGCCCATCGCCGGTGCGGTCGCCGCCACCGGGCCGTTGTGGTGGGATACCGAAGGGAGAGGCGGTCGCGTTTCATCGCTCCCGACATCCGCCATCTTATCCACAGGCCCCCGCTGACTGCCCTCCGGTCAGTGCTGGATGTCCGTGGAGCTAATTCAAAACAACGCACTCTGGGCCAGTCCCTGCTGCGGCGTTTACTACCTTCCCACACATACACACAAGCTCTCACACACCGCGACCGTTGTTGACGACCCGCCCATCGAGATCGTCACGAGACACGGCCACGCGAAGTGACCTCACTCGGGTGCGTCGCCCCACTTCTCATGCCTCAACTATGCAACTTCACTTGAACTGACGCCTTGATTTACGTGCTTTTCCACTGCGGAGGAATGAATGTCATTGATCCGTTCTACAAAAAAAAAAAAAAACACCCAAGAAAGAAAAAGAAAAAAAAATTGAAACCTGTAAAGATGTATTCGGCAGCTGTGGTGGCCCGGGGACCATTTGCGGCCAATTGTCCATTTTCTTGCAGCGCCTCAGCTTATATGAAAAATACCTTTTGACACAGCCTGCAATCCGAATGGGTGCAGCCGTTTAAAAAGTAGGGGGTTGTGACACCTGCTTCCCCCATGACAAGCACTACGACGAATAAATTCAATTTATAGAACTTTTCTAGATATGTAAAGTAACTATTTCAGACAAATATACATTTCTACTACTCATTTGTCCACAAGGGGGCACTTCAATCATTTGAAACTTTAAAACAACAATATGGGCTGAATTCTGAGGTTTCTTTAGATCCTTCCAGATCAGACACTAATTTAATCAGAACATTAGAAAGTAAGGTGATGAAGGATTTTAATATCCATTTATGTCATTAATAAAATCAGTTCCCCCAATCAAGGGCATTCCCAAATTGTATTTTTTTTCCTGCTGAGTAAAGAGGAGAGCACACATTATGTGAAGGAGAACTGGGAAAGCGATGGGGTGGGGGGGATGCGGCCCTCGAAGGAAAAGTTTGGACACCCTTGCTCTACAGTACTGACAAACTGAAGGAAATGCCAGAATTGGATACGCCGGTTGACAAAATGTTGTCCCGAAACCATGTGATGTGGTTTAACCAGTGACAAAGCGGTGTCGTGAGTTTAACGTGTCCCAACATACAACACAGATTTGATAATAAAACACCGAAGAACAAAGCTACCATATTGTTTGTTTTTCACAAGGGTAAATGTTTTGTTATTATATGCTCTGTCTGTATGGATTGTTTCCATTTATGTTGAAATACAGTATAAGTTCTTCAAGAAGTACTGCAATGTCAATGTTAGTTTCCTTAGCCCGCCTATCCGTTAATAATAAGATAGCTGACTTACGTAAAGCAAATTCATGTTATTTGGTTAAATATACCTAACACAATTCTCTTTGTTTTATGTTTCGTTTGACAGTAAACAAATTGGGAGTGGCGATAAACTGCTCGAAGAAATCTTCTGGCCTCTTTTTGAAGTTGGCTAAATTCTCCACATATCGGGAAAAATAATTACATATTAGGTGTCATTCTATTTGCATCTTAGACAGAGAATTCTCTCCTCCTTTGTAAAAAAAAAGCACTCATGATACAACATTTTGGAGTTGAACAGGGTCAGGCCAGCAATTTGTCTGAGGGCGAGCACTGGCAGACACTCATCTACAGTCACTGTCGCAGCTTCAGGCCATTCACACTTTCCAGTTCATCTAAGATGCACTTTCACAGTCATACAACTTGCATTGTGTGTTTGTTGTGAATCTGGTAACACTGGGGCTTTTCTGTGTGTGTGTGTGTGTGTGTGTGTTTTCTGCAACTGTCCCAATTCACAGGAAACAGTATAAATCATTGGCTGTGTTATGCTCAATATAAGAAAACAAAATAATGAAGGGGTCAGAAAAACCACACCCAATGTCGATCTGTGGGTGTACCTTATCGCTACAGCATGATACAGAATTCATTTGTTTTTTTTTCTTCTTGTGGTAGAATCAAGTCCTATTGCTACATAGGTACACAAAATGGACATCAAGATGGATGGTTTTTCGCTCGCGATTAGAGCACCGATACACAAGCGTAGAATATTGAACTGACATGTCTGTTCAATATGAATAAATATGTATTTTATGGAAGAAAATAATTAAATTTTACCACCAAATGTTAAACGCCTTGTAATCTTCTTCTTTGGATGGCAAATTGATTGAACCCACAGCACCCCCTGCTGGTTTCAGACAAGTAGTGCACCCCGATGCTTCAGAATGCGATTGATCGATGAATTCCGCAAAAATGATCAAATCTCTTACGATGTATTCCCACAAAACACACTTAGCACAGGTTGAGTATTTTAGTGGTGTTTATTATCAGCAAACCGATAATATATTGCTATCATCTAGTGTTCAAAATAGAACACGACACTCAGGGAAAAAGGCTTGCAATACACACGCATACTGCACTGTAACTCAGCAACCTGCCTGTTTGCATTGTAACCATGGCAACTGGAAACAGGGCGTGCGTGTGTGTGTGTGTGTGTGTGTGTGTGTGTGCAGCTCCTGAGCTGTTATTAGACTCCTTTGCTCCGATGTGTGACTTGCAGGCAATTTTTTTAAAAGCCTGAAAGTGGAAAATTCCTGTCAATCATTGAGTCAAACATTTAATGAGTGGATTTTATCAAGAGTCCCTCCCACGGGACTGATAAAAGTCGGCTCATCCTCCCAGTTGTGTTACGCAACATTCAGCTGACATGAGGCATATAGAGAGGTACTGAAGGGGAAAAATGCTGATGGGTCGATGTGCCTAGTGACTCATGAGCAGTCTTTCCTCATGGCAAACGGCAACCTCTATCAGTCTCTAAGAATCCGACAGCGTGCTTGGATCATTCTGGCCATTCCCCAGCATAGTGAGAAGCTGTTATCAACAAAGAGGGAGTGGCTCCCGTGTACTTTGGCTCCGGTGGCATTTGAACTAAGGTGGGACCTAAGGGTGGGACGAATGATCATTCTTGTGCTACAGCATATTGCATGATCGCCAGCAACACAGTATCACTACACTAGTATAAAAAGTCAACAACTTACCAGCTTATCCACATTGTGATCTCAAACCATACACATCAATATACCAGTATCAATAACTGATACGGAACATACGATGATACACCTCAAAATCCAAGACTGACATTTTGTATCCTTAATCAAAATACAGTGTTGATACGCCAGCATCAAATATTGACGTTTTGCATCATTGGAGATGGAACACTATCAATTATAGCTCATAATACAATATCGATACACTAGCACATAGGATCACCATAACGTTTTAGTCCAAGATACCATATTGATACAGTAGATTTAAAGATCAACAATACAGTACAAATACTGTAAGAAATAGTGACAGCACGATGTATCATATCTTTACATGTAATACTAGTGTATTGATATGGGAGCGCCAGGTATCGACACGTCGTATCGTTATAGCTCACGATACAGTAACAATTCACCAGCTTCAAATATCAATGTTGGAATGCATAGTAGTGTTGTAAATCAGAGTACCGATACGCCAGCATCAAATAAACACAGTGGCTTGTCATAGCTTACACTACAGTATTGCAACAGCCACATCAAAAGGATATTGAAAGAAGCTTACTTTCTCTCCTTATCTCACTTGATATGGGATTAACTTGCAGTTGCTTCATTCTTGTCACTCTCATCGCAAACATATTGCAATGATATGTGTGGCGAATGATTGAAATGTGCACTGTGGTCTCACACATACATTAAAAACAACACAACTCGAGGGCTGGGTTTAAAATCCTTTAAGTCATTTCAATGGACACGAGGCAAAAAAAAAAAAAGAAAAGAAAAATACAATGAAATGCTATGCGGAATGATGTTCTCTTCAGGAAACTGTCTCTTTCTTCATTTCTTGGTCGCATTCTTCATGCGCAACTGATAGCACCGCTCGCATGCAATGGACAGTCCCACTACGAGGGACACAAACTCTTCAAAGTCCACCTGGCCGTCGCTGTTGGTGTCCAGGTCCTTCATGATCCTGTCCACGGCAGCGGGGTCCTGCTGGGACTGAGAATGCAAATATTCAACTCAGGGGCAGTGTTTCCCCGCTATAGAATCCTTCCCAATAACGCACCGCATATTTTTACTTTTAAACATTGATTTTTGGAACATGTTGGAAATACGAACATTTCCGTTTTTGTGACATTTGATTTTAATGACACCACAAGCCCAAATTCAGAGTTGTGTGTCCTGCGTGTGGTACCACATTCTGCCACAACATGCTGGGCAGTACAGAGCGCTACTGGATGAGATGCGACGTAATTAAGAACATGTACCTGTTGCTGCTGTATGTGTGTAAAGTAGCGCTTGTCTTTCGGATTACAATTACCATAAAATGTATGCTAATTTCCATTAGCCCTGTAGTATTTCTTATATGGTAGTTCGGGTGTGGATTTACACCAATAGCAGGTCGGACTGGGACGTACGCCCCCGCAATAAACAGAGGACTCAGTATTAAATAGTATAAAATGAGCAATGCATTGACAGCATACCCTTAAAAAGTTGGACAGCTCGTTCTCCATCAGCTCCCGGAGCTCCCGCCGGTTGAGAGTGCCGTACCTGCCTTCCCGAGAAGCGTAGCGGTGGAATACCAAGATGAGGGACTCCATGGCTGTCTCCAGTTCTGAAGGCATGCTTGCTTGCTCAGGTTGGAGATGCACTGAAGCGACACGTTTCGATTCAGTCAATCCTTGTGCAATACATGAATTTAGTTCAAGTGTTTTTACAGAATCGACAAATGAAACATACACAGGCCACCGATTTTAAATGCCAGGTTTTTGATAAAAAATGGTTTCTTTTTTGCCTTGTTTTTGTTCCAGAGGGGCTCAAAATCTGCCCAATTTTGGGGACTTATACTCCCCCGACCCTCTTCAGGCCACCTCACAGATTTTCTGCTTTCTAGCAAGTGGCTAAATTTTATTTAATTGGTGTGTTTAACTGGCACAAAGCTGGCATTTTAATATTGGTGTACAGACTTTTTAACAGTTGTCACTTGTAATTTTCCATGTTGTAATGCGGTGACACATGCAATGAAGAATTATGGGCTGTGTCCCATTGAAGGGTTAAGCAAAAAAGGCCTGCCCACAGATGACTAAACTGTCTGCAACTCACAGTAGTTCTGAGTGGAAAAAAAGTACTTCTGCCCCTCGTTGTGTCTTTATGTTGGAGCACTTTGGCTCGAAGGGGGGGAAAAAAAAAAAAACTTTCATGCACTAAAATGTCCTTGGTAGGCTACACCTTAGTACTGATCTATTGCGTACCATGCCGAGGCCTGCTACAGTAAATAAAAAAAAGTTTTATAAACTTCTAATTTTGTATGACAAACTCCGAGGTTGATTTATGTCCACCCTATTTTAATTTACCCTCATTATATAGTGCACAGTAACACGAAAGGCACTTCACATTACACCGCATTTAAGACAATTTATAAATGCATGCTATGTAATGAAAGGGTAATGAGCAACATGCACAATCAAAAGGTTGAAATTCTTACCGTGAGAAAAGAGATTAGGAGTCAGCTCAGGGCGAGTATGCAGCGCTCAGAAGTTGGCAGAAAGTGTAACTCCGGCTTTTATAGGCAGGCTCCGCCCTGCTGCGCTGCGTGTGCGACAAAAGCAAGAGAAACCAGGAAGAGACATCCACCGTGGCCGCTTCGTTTGGGGCGTGAATAAACTTTACACTGCAGGTCAGAGGGAGTGGTAGGTTGTTGATGACTCGCACTGGACTCATAATAGCGCAACCGGAGTGATTCAGCAATGTGCATGCAGACAATTGCCTTGGAATTCGATTCACGGAGTCAGCAAATTGTCCGAAAATCTATAGAAATTTGTGCTGACAACACACACAGCATAAAAAGTCATTTATATTTTGTGGAAACCGGTGTCACACTTGAGAGAAAACTGGACTCGTAGCACTTGTTTTGTTGAGAAACAATCCAGTCAGTGCCTGAGGGAGGAAATTGCGGAATTTGGCGTCACCTGGTGGTCAGTAAACATAAAACTAACAAAGAGCAATTTCCACATTAAAAAAAAAAAAAAAACGATTCACCAAAATATAAGTACATTTTGAACTACATTGGTAATCGTAAAATGAATTATAAATTAGAAAAAAAGGATTTAAAATGCATCATACATATTCTTAGATTGAGTGGGCGTGGCTTATCGTGGAAGCTGCTTTACGTCCAGCCCGAATCCCCTGCATTATATTGAAGGGGAAATATGTAGTATAATTGGGAAAATACTGTCTGGAAGGCACAAGTGGCGCTTTTACGTGTGTGTGTGTGTCTGTGTGTGTATGCGTGCGATGGCAGCTGACCGGCAGCTTGATGTGCAGATGTTGTCAACAAGCTGCTGAAACATGGACATGATGGATTTGAAGGCAGCCACGTCGACTATGGATGCTCTGGTCCGCATTAGTGTGAGTAAATATAGACGATAATGATATATATTTGTGTGTGTATATTTGTAACAAATGTGTGTATTTTTTATGCTATTTTTAGCACTTGCACGCCATTTTGATGTCTGTTTCTGAGCAAAAGGCGTGCTCAGTCCATTCAATTGGTGTCTAAATGGGAAAAAAATAGATAATGAAGGGTATACATTTGATTAGAAAAGCAAAAGTCGATTGCAGCGCATGCGCATATGCACATGCATCTATAAAGAGATTATACATAACTCTCCCCCCCCCCATTTATCAAAAATACAGCTTTTCATTCTGATTATGTTGAAAGATCCCCCACCAGATGCGATACATTTTAAAAGCAAAATGGCTGCAAGCAGTGCGGCTCGAGAATGTACCGTCTCCAAGGGATGCTCGTTGCCATGGAGACGACAGAGCCGGATGCTGCATCAACCGCACGGTTAAGCGGAGGCTTTTCATCACAGTCTCACAACACCGATTTGGTTACACATACTCACGCTGTGTGCTTTACGCATTTATATCAGTAAATATATTCATAGAAATAAGGATTTGCTCGCCGCTCTCCCTGCCCCCTGCCCCCTCCCCCTCTTTGCTCCCTCCCCTCGGTGAAGCTATTGCGTCAAACCGTGCATGCGTGTTGGAAACTGTCATGGCGCCAAGGTTCCTGCAGGTGAAGGTAAGGACTCGCTAAAGCAGAAGCAACAGCAGCAGCTACTAATGGTTATGATGCGACAAGCTTTCAGAATTGATGGATTTCTAGGAGAGGAGAGGCAAAGAGAGAGCAAAAACGGGGGATGGCATTGGAGACAGAAGGGCAAGGAAAAATGAGCCTATGATGATGCATGTTGGTTTTATAACTAGTAGAAGCCTGTAGCTTGATACCGGATCGCCATAGGCGTCTATATTGGGCATCCAGATGCTGTCGTTGGAAATCCAGTGTGCTGTTTTATTGGTAGAAATGTGCCAACTGTGCAACATGGAGTAATGCCATGAGCATGACCGCATGTCAGGCCATGTCTTAAACTCATGAGTTCACTTCACGTTGAGGTTTTGTGTAAAGTGAGGCCTTCTCCTAAGCTTGCTTGCCCTTTTCCATCATTTACTTGTCCTTGAGTATATTTATTTTATACAGTAGAAACCGTTACCTTTATAGAGCTAAGGCAGAAACTCTCTCACACACACACACACACACGCACACGCACACGCACACGCACACGCACACACACACACTTTACGATGATTTAAAAACAAAGTCACACAGGTTAATTGTAACTTCTGCCATCTAGTGGCAGTGCATTATACTGTATGCTGATGGCATAGAGTCAATAGATGAACAAAGATACATTATTTGTATAGCAAATGGCCGGACCAATTATGTGAGGTAATAATTTGAGCACCTTCATTGATATCAGCTGTTGGATCCATCCAGTGATGTAGCGACTTTAGAGTGTTGCAGTGAGGGAGTGCACGCATGTGCAAGCAGAGAGAACATTTTGACTTTCTATGATTTTAAAGGCCCATTTGTACTTGGTGATTTTTTTTTCTTATTCATTCTGAATTGGCAAGGCTTTAATATTTAATACTAATAAGTTAAGGGGGATTGTGTTCGGGAGAAGAAGAAACAATTTCACCAGGATATACGCGCTTGCAAAAATTGGTAATGTCCATCAACTGTAGGTGAGTCTATATTAAGCTTGATGCTCCAAATGGAAGGCGCGGCATTATTATGAATAATTCATATCTGCCCTTTATGCATTTTTAACGATGATGACCCACGTTGCCTTGGCCTTTTCTACTCGTTCTACACGCGTTGGTACATCCCAAGTCGAATGCCATAGTTATTTATTAAAAAAAAAAAGGATGCTGCTGTATTAAGACTCCACAGTCTCCATTGTGCACTGACAAATAAAATGTCACTCCAAGAGATCGTCATTCTCCTCGTGTCAACCTGTTTGCTTCCTTCAGTCCAACATGAAGAGCCTGGAGCAGGAGCTGCACTGCCCCGTGTGCAAGGACATCGTCAAGCAGCCCGTGGTGCTGCCATGCCTTCACAGTGTGTGCCTCATGTGCGCCTGTGAGGTCCTGGTGGCCAGCGGGTACCCGCCGCCGGACCTCCCCGCGGAGCCCAACTCCCCGGCCTCCACCCCTAACATGCGCTCCCCGAGACAGCTGCGTAGGCCGACGCCCAAAGCTGAACAGCGGCCCATTGACCGGGTGCTCCGGGCAGGTGAGGACGACAGTTATTATTGTTTACAAAAACAAACAAAATAACTAAAACTTACACCGAAAAAACATTTTAGTTCATGAAAAAAAATTCAATTGAGAGTGCGTTTAACAAAATGAAAACTGAAACTATATTTTACGTTTATAAAACTAGGTACGAGTAGGTACCATTTGGGTCGGGCAGAAAGGCCGAACAGCGGTTCTTGTACTGCATCTCTGTTAACCGTCAGTCTACATCTTCCACCTCTTTGCGTTTTTCAAGGTCCCCACCCACCTTCGCCATCCATGCCCCGCTCGCCAGGGTACCCGGGGCGACGACGCAAGGAGGGCCCGTCCCCGTCCATGATGTTCCCCTGCGTCCCTTGCGGCCGTGATGTGGAGCTTGGCGAAAAAGGCCTCATCGACTGTTTGCGGAACCTTACCTTGGAGCGCATCGTGGAGAGGTGGGTCCACGACACACCAACTAAGAACTGTACAGATTTCGTATATGCTCTGCAGTAAAGAAACCTAGCCATATTGGTATCTGGTCTGGTGGGTCGCTTGGTCCCCATTGCCGGTGGCTATACGGCAGAAAATTCCGCTACTGTGACACCTAACATCGTGCTATCTGGTCAGTCTGACGAGCCAAATGGTGCTCCACATATGCTTGGCAGTTAAAGACGTCCTATCAGACACATATTTGTCCAGCGGTGACATGTGAATGTGAACATTGAACAGTTTTTGTCACACTTATTGATTCGATTCAATGGACAATGTGCTGATAGCGATGCCGTCGCAAACTTTGACAATGTTTTTGCGTAGTCCTGCCAAGCAAACGGAACTAAACATGGTGTTTTGTTCCCTCTGTCGGCCCCTCCGGCAGGTACCGGCACACGGTCAGTCTGGGCAGCGTGGCCATCATGTGCCAGTTCTGCAAGCCCCCGCAGGCCCTGGAGGCCACCAAGGGCTGCGGTGACTGCAGGTCCAACTTCTGCAATGAGTGCTTTAAGCTCTACCACCCGTGGGGAACGCCGCGGGCGCAGCATGAGCACATCCTGCCCACACTCAACTTTAGACCTAAGGCAATAAGCCACACGCTGTATTATCCCAGTTGTCTTGCGTTATGCGTTTCTGAATTCCATCTCCTACCGCAGGTTTTGACTTGCGCCGAGCACGACCAAGAGAAACTGCAGTTTTACTGCAGGTCCTGTCAGCGGCTGCTTTGTTCTCTCTGCAAATTGCGTCGCTTGCACACGGGACACAAGATACTGCCCGTGGCCCAAGCTTACCAAGCCCTCAAAGTACATCAATCTGCATATTCACTGATCCGTTTTCACCTCATCAAAATGATGTCTCCAAAACAGTGGCGGACCCAAAGCCCCGCCATTGTCTCATTTCATGACTGTGCTGTTGTTTTTTTTTTTTTCTTTCCCCTCCGGGGGGAATAGGAGAAGATTACAAAGGAGATGAACTACATTCTGTCCAACCAGGACACGGTGCTGGCTCAGATTACACAGCTGGAGAGCGCCATCACTCAGACTGAGGTGATTAACGAAGCACACACACACACAGGAAACCATGTTCAACATGGATAAAAAAGATGGTAATGCAATCGTGTAAGGCTTTAAGAATGAAAAGACACTGCAGGGCTTTTCAGTCACAACATATGCATCATTGGAGGAGAGACATGTCAATCATTTTAGTCGTATAACTGATGATTACTTCCTGGCACCACTGGAATATTCAGCCCCGACAGGAAGTTTCAATGTTAAACATCATACTAATGCTAATTATAAGTAGATGCACAAAAAGGTCTGAAGAAGCCATGTGGGAAAAGACACAGGAATCCAGCCATTTTCATCCGAAATATCCATAACAAATTATGATAACTCATGCAGGTGAACAGCGTGTCAGCTCGTGAGCAGCTGGCCCAGAGCATCAGGGACCTGACGGCGGCTTTGGCCGAGCGCCACGCCTCGCTCACCCAGGCGCTGGAGGCGGCCCGGCACAAGCGCGGCGAGGCGCTGGCCGCTCAAGTGGCGGAGCGGCGGAGCTTGATGGAGCACGCGGGCCTTGTCGCGTTCACTCAAGAGTTGCTGAAGGAGACAGACCAGCCCTGTTTTGTGCAGGCTGCTCGCCAGACGCATAACAGGTGCACCATTAAAGCGATTTGGAAAGGAAACAAAATGACTATTGTTCTCCTGGTAGCGTTCCTGCCTTTGGTTTGGTTTTTTTTTTTATGGATTAGGCTTTGGACTCTTGGGCCACAAACAAGAAATATAATGAGGGAGGTAAGTAACAGGAAAAATGAACTGTTCTATTTTGAGTTGTTAAAAATAAATAAATAAATAAATCAGCCCCAAAATCCAATTAAACTCAGTGACATAAAATTTGGTGGACATGTTAAATCAGGAATAGACCCACCAAAACGTCTCAAGGGGCCTCTTAGAAAAAGACCAGGAAGCTTGCCAATTTAGTCTGAAGCCACCATTTTAGAGTAATTTTTGGGATCCTTCAAGGACAAGATTATGTCTGATTGCTACCAAATTGGAACCAGGTATACAACACGGAAGCATGACACTAATTTGTGCAACATTTGAATTTTTGCAACTGGGCGTGGGAGGAGCACGGTGGCTTTGTTTGATGATTAGGCCAATGTCCATTCTAGGTTCAGCAAGGCGATTGAGAACCTTCAGCATTTTGCTCTGGCTGCTGATCCGTCCTTCAGACATTTCCAACTGGATGTCTCCAAAGAACTCAAACTGCTTACGGAGCTAAACTTCATCCGAGGTGAGAACAGGAAAAAAGACAAATTCAGCCTTTAATTTAAATGACTATTTAGTTTTCATAAACCACATTCTTTTTCTACATTTATTTATTTTTCTACACTTTATTCTGATGCTTTTTCCTTTGTTTGCCACAGCTCCTTTGGCCCCAGTCCTCGACACCCAGCACTCCCTGGCTTACGATCAGCTCTACCTGAGCTGGCGCTTGTCCCCGGACTCGGCGCCCGCCTGGCACTACTCAGTTGAGTACCGCCGCAGGGGGGTGGTGCCGGGCGGTGCATCCCGGGGGGGCAATAGGGCCGGTCTGGCGGCCGCCCGCTGGGGTTGGCAGCGACTGGACGAGGTGAGCGGAACGAGCACCGTCATCGACAGACTGGAAATGGACAGTGTGTACGTACTGCGGGTGAGGGGCTGCAACAAGGCAGGCTACGGCGAGTACAGCGAGGAGGTGTACCTCCACACCCCTCCGGCGCCAGGTGAGGGCGACAATGGGACCATTTTGTCGGAAAAGTTCAGAAGCGTTCATTTACCAAAGTATGTCTCAACTAGTGCTGATTGGAAAAATAAAATTTGATTGCAAGTCTTAGGGTGAAGGCATTTTAATTTCAAAATAGATTAGATTTTTCAACAGTTATAATTCACATTTTGGCTGAATTTTTTTCATTAATTTCATTTGAAGTATGAATTCAAAGAATCACATTATAAAAAGTGATATTCAGAATGCGATATTAATAGTACAGCATACAGTTTATTTGCGGCTTCAAAGAAACTGAAAACTGGGGGGAAATGTTGCGGTTGTATACATCTGTGCCTTTCTAGTCGTGGTGAAGAGTTTGTAATTCATTCTCTCTATTTTCAGTTCATCACCATTTTCCTTTTCCATCCACTAGTCACTTCCTGTACTTCATCTCTCTCTCTCTCTGTCGCGTGTTATTTCCATTTCACAGCTTGTCATCCTCTTCAACGTTCCTCCCATGCCGACAACCCACCTACACACCACCTGCGGAATGTAAGAATTCATAGCTCAGGACCCTTAAGTCATATGACGATCCCCTCTTTGCTCTCTTTTGTGGCCATTCCACGCATCTGCCGCTCTTTCCATCTTTTGCACCCTAATGTAAAGCCGCACCGTTGTGATGAGGTTTGCAGATTAAGACTAGAGGCTTGACAGATCAGATCAGATTCTGATTGTTTTTTTCTGAAATCAGGGCTCAGCTTGACTGACGCCTTGTGACCTGTCATTTCCCCCCCCCTTCCTGTCCCCTACTCTGTCAATTGTATTGGGGAAAAAAAATATATGCTTCTGTCATGTGATGCCATCAGTATTCTTCTCCCAGAGTGGTCGCTGTTAACATCGTCATCCTTCCACTGCATCTACAGTTGTACCTTGAAGTTTGACTCGAGAAGACTCTGTTCCTATTGGGGCCCATGTGGACGAAATCCCTGTTGGTCAAGCCATGGAATTCGTCCAAAATGGCAGCCTTCAAACCAAAATGGTCGACTTTCTGTTAAAATAGAGCATGGGTCCTTGATACTTTGTCGTACGCCCTGTCAATATAAACACATCCACCGAATTTGTGTTGATCCTCGAGATTATCGTCAAACTTTGAAGCCTTGATGGTTGTTTCAAACCAAAATAGGCCATTTCCTGTTTAATTTCGGGCATCGGTTCTTGAGACCTGTTCGTACGCCCTGTCAGGACTTACGCACCCAACAAATTTTGTCTTGATTTAGCAGAACTAAAGTCATTTTAATGGGTAAGCTTCAAAGTGAATGTCAGACATTGACGGCCAAATAGCTGCTTCAAACCAAAATGGCTGACTTCCCATTCAATTTCGGGGAGTGGCCCTTGAGACTTTATTGCGCGTCATGTCACAATAGAAATGTCTGACTAATTTCGTGACGATGGTTAAAACTGGTGTTGATGGCTGCTTTTTCTTTTTAAAAATTTCTTTAAAGCCAATAGCAATTCGACAGAAACAGGGACTAGAAACTTACCAAAACAAACATGAATGTCAAGGTACGACTGGACCAATATCCTTTACCTCAAGTCTACTTCAGTGCCACTCCTAATTCTTCCTATCGTCCCTTTATTTGCCTGCCGCCGCCCTCGAGCTCCTGACTTCCTGTCATTCTCTCCGTTCCAGTGCTGAACTTCTACCTGGACTCTCGCTGGGGTCTTCACGCTGACCGACTGGTGGTGAGCAAGGAGCAAAGAGCGGCCCGCAGCGTCCCCGGCCTCTCCTTGCTGCAGGCCGCCGACCACGCGCTAACTTCCTGTCACCTGACGTCAGACCTCTTGGTGGGAGATGTGGCTATCACGCAAGGGAGACACTACTGGGCGTGCTCGGTGGAGCCTGGCTCTTACCTCGTCAAGGTACGAGAAAACGGTCGTGGAAAAATGCTCATGGAACAGAACATTAGGTACACCTGTATTAATTTTGTCGCCTGTACCCAAAACTGTATTTACATATAAAGTTAGTTGGGTGGCACCTGTGGTCGACGGGTAAGCACGTCCGCTTCACAATGCAGAGGTGCATGGCTCGATTCCGGTTCTGGCCTTTCCCATGCCTGTGTGGGTTTTCTCCGGGTACTCCGGTTTCCTTTCACTACAGCCCCTCTCCCCGCCTTGTGTGTGTATATACACAATTGAAATTGAATGTAACGTAGACATGAGATGTTTTTCCCCAAACAGATAAAATATAGAGTTGATGATGCTTCAATGGATCACAAATCATATCCTCAACTTTCTCAGGTCGGCGTTGGTCTCGAGTCCAAGTTGCAGGAGTGGTTTCATCTACCAGAAGACATGGCTAGTCCCCGGTGAGTACCAGCTTGTCATGGAAGAAACCAAAAATCGAAATGATACCAAGTAAAATAGCCTGGTTTCACATTCGCCGATAGACGTGCGAATACTTTAAAAACATGATGTAAAGAACAATTACCGATAGGTTGTCAATCAGTAAAACTTTTTCACGGCTAATCCTCCAAATGATCGTAATGATGTTTGGTAATAGTGACTATGATCGACTCCTCCGGTAGGTACGATCCGGACAGCGGTCATGACAGCGGGGCAGAGGATGGCATGGACTCGGCGCCCCCCTTCTGCTTCCTCACCATGGGCATGGGAAAGCTCTACCTGCCCCAGCCAACCTACCACCACCACCACCACCACCACCACAACGGTCAACGCTCAGATCCCAATGGCAATGGCCCATCACCCCCAGCGGGCCTGACCTATCCGCTGCCGCCCCGCCTGGGCGTGTCTCTCGACTTCGAGAAGGGCCGCGTGGCCTTCTACGACGCCCACTCCCTGCGCCCCTTGTGGGAGGGTCATGTGGATTGCTCGGGGCCGGTGTGCCCAGCCTTCTGCTTCATCGGAGGGGGGGCCCTGCAGCTCCAGGAGCTGGTGGCCAACCGCGGGGCTGACCAGACCCCCGTGCGGAGGGTGACCATCCAGCCACGAGGCGGCTCCAATTTAAATAACTGATTACAAATTAGAATGTTAAGTCGTTTGCCTTTAAAGCATTTTTACGGCAACAAATATGCAATGTACTTAAGTTTCTTTTGTTTTTATTTGCAAGAATCACTGCTATTATCATTTTTGCTATAGCTGACACCAATGGATTACAACACCACCAGAGTTAGCCCTAAATTAATAGCATCATAATTTGCTCATTTTCCTCCATTGATAAATTTGCTTTTTCTGAAATTCAGCCACCAAAGCCAGCTTCATTTAGCAAGGTTTGAAATTGCCACTTTAGGTTCATTATGAGCATTTCAAACAGGTGTAATAGATGCGTTAAGCACTGTATATTTGATGCTTGCATTTTCATTTATGAAACTAATGTTACAGCCCCCACACCAACCATTTCATGCCCTTACGTGTCAAATTGGCGTGCTTTACTTCAGTAAACATGGACTTGTGGCATCTATAACAGTACTCTGATGCCATGTTATTTTTTTAATGTGGTCAATTAGCATTAGGGAGCAACGACATGGTGATAGACCATCGTTAGAAGCTGCAGTTACACCTCTGGCACACAACTAATCACTAGTTTCCACGCTTGTATTTGTGCATTCTAGAAATGAAACCATGATGAGCCACGTCTGTATGTGTGTATTTACACCCGTCTGCACATAGATGTGTGTGTATGCGTCCGCCTGAAAAAATATGTCCCTGCAGTCAGCCATCAGTGACAATTTTTTTTTTTTTTTAAATCTCTCTTGATTGTAAGCCTAGCGGGCGTGTTTAAACAAAAGTAAACACAGAATGAAAAGGGCTTCTCCTGCCTCCCTGCTTTTTGGGTCCACTACTACAGTACATCACGCAAACATGACAATTCTAAACTGTGCTAACACTGCAGGTATGCTTACCTTTTGCCGTTGACGTGTCAAAGTTGTTCTTTTACTCTAACTTTTAGTCAGGCTAACTGCCAAGTCATTAGAAAGCAAACTAAAGCGTGGTTATGTTAATTTTCCCTCACTGTGACATCACACAAGGGGCACAAGTGCAGAATGGCTCGCTGTCTGACACGTTTTCAAAAAGAGGCACATTATTATTTATTAGATTGACTTGTTTAAATTCATACTTGGGTAGACAGTCCACGAACCCAACTATTCACGAAACATGAAAAAAGTCGATTTTCCACAGTATGCCTCCTTTAAGGGTGTGTTTTGACACTTGGCCGCTAGAGGGCATTAAAGCAACAGAATGCGCTTTACCGTGGTCTTCACGCTCACTGCAACTATCCTAAATCCTGACAGATGGAATCAATTTGTTGGACAAAAAAAAAAACGGTTAATAAATTGTTTCAGATTTGGCGATGGGCTGTTCAAAAATATGAAATTGGAAATCTTGGATAGCTCGACCACGTTCATGTATATTTAATATGGAATATTTTCTAATTGCTTGTGCTCATTGTGCCTTTTTTTAACCAGTGAGAAGAATCCCAAAGGGAATCCGGCCATTGGGTATATTATAATCACGTTGACAACACAAAATATACGTTTGAAATGTAGGACCCTGTGTGTGCAGGGCGCCATCTGTTGGCGTACTGTTGCTGAAAACAATTAATTTTTTTATTTTTTTTCGAAAAACCTTGTCCATGTTCCAAATAATAAAAATAACACTTGAGGAATCTCACTCGTTTCTGTGTGCCAAACCAAACATGCTCCGCGCGGGCTGCGAGCCATCTGCTTTTGATGGAAGTATTACATGTGTAGGTGTTTAGCATTCCTTATGGAAATGTAATGGCAAGGGTTTACTGGTTATGGGCTTCAATATGGAGGGGAGTGGGGGGGGGGGGGGCAAAAATACATATTTGTTTAATTTGGAGAAAAACAAAAAGGGTGAATTGGAGGGGTGGAGGGGAGGCTGGACATAAAAGTTTTTCAGTTGAGTAAAAAATGCAATTACTGTCTGGAAAAGTATTGAAACACCTGGATATTAAAACTTTGTTTTGTTTAATATCCATGTCATAATATGTCTACATGTTTGTTCCTACTACTGTATTTACGAACAGCATTGGATGTTATAACCCTTCAACCTTTCAGGGACAGCGGTTACTACAGTGGACATGTTATCAGGTGACAGGGTGGACAAAAGGGTTAAGCAATGAGTATTTGAATAAAAATAGTGGAGCAATACATGTAGACAGACAACACTGGCATATATTCTTGATCCACTGCTCTACATGGACAGTGTAATTTCGATTTAACGGAGTCCAGTCAATTCAAAATGCCCCTTTGTAGAGTAGTTCTCAAAGCATGTGCGTTCCAGGCCGCAAAAAAGTCTAAAAACAATGTATACTATATTGGGTGATTTTAGGCCCCAAAAGACAGCCAATTTAATTTCAATAGATAAAGGGCGACACATCCCCTCCATTGCAATACATCTGTATGATACATAGCGCTTTCACATTTGTACAATAAATTGAGATACCGCTCCATGTTTGTATTACACTGCCCCGGCTGGCCGAAGCAGGCACACCATGAGGACAAGCACAAGAATGGTCTTCAACTACGAAGACGAATGAAGATTTACGGGGGAATTGAGGGATGTGGTCCAAGGCTCAACTGATGAATGGCTAACTTCAACTTTTCATCTCGGTACAAACCCCCCCCGGGACGCGCAAGAAGCGTCCTGTTGTGAACTCTCGCAACTGGACCGGGGCTCCTTTACTCCCAGCAAATCTGCAACAGATTGCGTTTGCTCTGACTGGAGGTATGCAGCCACAACGGCGCGAGTTGGGGGTCCACATAACCCCCACCCCCCATCCAGTTTTAAGCATGGCCAGTCTCTTTAAGGCCTCGTTGGAATTACCCTCACTTAATTTCTGTGATCATCTTTTACTCGACTTCAGAGGCAGCAGGGGTGGGTCTTGTTGGGCTCGGGTGAAATCACAGGTCACCTTGCCTGAGCTAAAAGCCGTCCGGTGAGCGACAGCGTGCGCAGGGCATCCATCTCGAGAACACATACGCTCATAATTCGCCAGCCAGAGTGTCTCCAACAACGTGGCGCCAAGGGACATGTTGATTTATTTCCCCAACCTGTTTCTCAGCGGTCTTTTCCCCACAACCTGTAACTCCGCGGCGATATAGACAGCAAAATCCGTTTTAAAACCCTGATCCCCAAAACATATGCAAATCGTCCATTTCAACTTGTGTTTGCCATCAACTTGGCTGCTGTGAACTTTTCATTTGGAGGAAGCCGATGAATTATTCACCATCTCGCGCGTTCAAATCAAATTGGACAGGTGATAGTCAGCCACCCCCGCCCATCACCAACTCCACATTTAAACGCTCATTCGCCAAGGGAATCAAATCGCGCGATTAAATTCAATAACGCCTCCTTGTGACATTATTCTTCCGGACGTTGAAACACTTTGCAGCAGCCGCCAGAGAGGAATTGCATTAATAAAACATCAACTTCCTGATTTGATTGCATAGCCGGTGAGAAACGACATACAGAGGGAAAACATCAATGCTGTGAGATTTTATATATATATATATTGTAAAAAAGAAGTAATTCCCAATATTTACTTGATATTTTCAAATTTGTATTTATTTTGGCATTGGGAAAAAATAGTAGTACCTGTTTTTAAATATAATATTCATCTTAGAAATCTTATATTTCCATTTATATATTTCAATGTATCTTTGTCAAATCATTTTCCTTGTTCATGTTTGAATATAATGTATTTTTATTAAGTATGTACAAAATGTAAACATTTGAAAAATATTTTTGCGGCATACATTTTTTATTTTAATGGATGTTTATCTTATCTAGGTATCATAAGATTGGGTATGTTTCACCCAAAACTATCATTTTTATTGGAATATTATACCCCATACATTTAGTCCTTAATGTTTGTACTTGTCTTTAGCTTCTAATAATTGTGTATTTTTTTGGTCAAAGCTTTTTTGACACTTAGATTTTTCATTTTGATGTATTTGTCTATATATATATATATATATTTTTTTTTTTTGTATTATTTCATAGTGGTTGTTATATTTTGTAATACACGCATGATTTGATCCAATATAGGATTCATTTTTGCATCAGAAGTTAATTTGGCTTCGAATTTTAATTTGATGCTAGAGTGAACTAGTGTGAGATGGTGTGGTATAGAATAATTATAATTGCATTGGTGTAATCCCACATAACTAGATTGCATTAGCATAGGACGATGAGCACCTTTTCTTGGCTTACCTTTACGAGTCGGTGGACGTTAAGCTAAACGGCGCTAAGTGAAAAGAGCGCTCGGCTTTTTTGTCGGCACGTTAGTGGAATGTGAAAATATTGGTTTAACGCGCAGGAATGTCAAAGTGCCGGACTTATCCGCAGAATTCCTTTTAGCTATAAGGAAGTTGAGAGTCTGTTCGAGGCTTTGGCAGCGCGGGTGTTACTATAAAGCTAGGATAACATGACATCTGGCGTATTATGGTTTCCATAAGAGCGGAGAAGTTCAATGATACTTTGCGATCGAGGAAGGTGGTGGAAACCTGCCGAGTCAGCCATTTAAGTTAAAATTCCAGGTGCATGAAAAGTGAAGGGAAATTTAAAAAAAAAAAAATAGAAAGGGCCCTGTCTGATGCGAATGTCAACAGGGGATCCGTAAAGCACACGCATCTTGAACGGCTCTGTCCGGACCAGCTGTGCATAAATCATGGCCATCGTGGTCACTACGTATAGTGAAAGGTGGGAGGAGGGCAGGCGGAGCAATACAGATGATCTCAAGTTGAAGAATGTTTCATCAGATGGAGTTATGGTGCAATATTGGAGTCTTTTTTTTCTAAGTCTTATTATTCACTCCGTATATTTTAGCATGACACAGCGATCCCTCACTTATCGCGGTTAATGGGGACCGGGACCACCCGCGAAAGATGAAAATCTGCCAAGTAGGGTTTGCACCCCCACCCCGCCCCCCTAGGAATTTTCGTGCAAGGGTTTGTGGGTAAGAGCATGTTTAAAATATGTAAACAGTATTTATACTTTACATATTTGAGACAAAGACTATAGCAGTACACATTTTTTACTTAAATCTTTAATTATAAAATCTTATGCAGTAATTAACATTCATCAGCATTGCCTTGATGCAGCTCTGACAGTGTAGCCTCCAGCGAGCTGCTGGCCAGCTATCCCGTGTGGCGCGGTGTGCAGCCAATGTGTTTATGATCAGACAATTAAGGAGGTGAAGAGACATATGCTGCTCCCCCACCCCCTAAATATTAAATATGCATTGTTGTAAATAATCAGGGGATAAATGTGGGGAAAAGACAACTTATTGAAAATATTAGTCAGAGTAACGCGTTGTGCTACCAGTTACTCAAAACTGGCAGCCATAACAGGGAACATGACCCCTTCAAAGTGTTCCACGTTCACCACGTCAATCTATATTTTGCGGACGCCCACCCCGGCGTCTTCGTTGTCATGTCCGTTCCTCTTCACCAGGCAGATGGTGAGCAAGTGAAGGGGTGAAAGGTCGGCAGGTGCCTGGAGGCAGGCAGCAGGGTGGTCGTGCTTCAGCGAGGGTCAAGTAGAGTTAAGAGACTTGGTGAGGGCATGGGGCCAATCCATCCAGTGTTCAGATCAAGAGCGGACGGAGCAGCGGGCTAATGATTCATTGCGGCCAAACGGCAAACTGTCTGCCGAGGTCCCAGCCAGCTTTGGAGTGGTTTACCAGGCGGCGGGCACAAAGGCGTAATTCTTGAATCTTTGACCTTTTTGCAATTTGGGCGTGAACCGCGAGGTGGTCAAAGCGGCGGCGGGCACAATGCGCTCAACGTGATCAATGGTGCACTGCACCATAATTCTCCGAGGCCATCACAATCAATGTTTTGGGCCCGACGTTTTAAAGGCCAATGTAGAGGCTTGCGCAGTTTGTTTCAAAGTTGAATTCCTGACATGGATTTTTTTTCTCCCCTATTCTCTGCTTAGGTCCTTGTTGAGTTAAACTGATATATTTTTTCCTTCATGTTTTTGAAATGTTCACATTTTTGTATTGTTTTCTAATGTGCATTTTGGAGCTGATCGAGTTAAACTGGGTCAGCCACTATTAAAACGCGACTGGTTGAGCGCTGATTAAAACTGACTAAGAGCGACCCGCACGAATCCGGATCAACCAAATCAATACCTATCATGTTTCCAGAATGAGAACTGCCTTAACTGATCGGTTCCACCATCACCAGTGCTAATGTGAAAGGGGATGTATGAGTGGGGGGGGACATCGAGAATGTCCTTTGTTGGCGGCTTTTACGCCGGCAACAAGCATCGGATCACGTTGTCCGCGCCGCCATGTGCGTTTACGTGAAGATAATACGGAACGGCGTCCCGTAAAGGTCAACAAACAAAGCGGGGGCGCGGCACAAACGGAGGGTGCGTGATGGGATTCATTCGGACAGCAGCGAGGGATCGGGGAGTGGGGGCGGGTGCATGTTCAATTTTTGAAAGACGGACAAGTGCGGCACTCACATGCTTGGGCCCGCTTGCACTTTGCCTCCCCCAGGAAAAGGCGTCATGAAAATGTTCTCAATGGAATGAGAGGAGCGCTCTCACACAATCTTGCCGGATGAACTTACTCTCCTTTTTTCCCGATCAAGATTTCGACTCTGGTATATTTGGACTCACCCCTGAGATCCACGGGTCAAAAACACTGCTGCTCAAGCACAGAATAAAACCAGAAGAGCATAATTTGAGGTTGCTAAGTCAAACAGTCGTCAGAGACTGATCATCCCCGAAAATTTCATGGAGGGGTGGGGGGGATGCTAACAGGCCAGTATTTCTGGGGGCTTCCATTGTCACGCCTGGAAGCTCTATTAATTTAAGGATTTCGTTAAGACTTTTAGGGGCTTATTTTTATTTCACCCGTTTCCTCTCTTTTTGCTGCACATCAACCATAAAATTCCCTTTGCGGTGTGACAAACTCTCGGGTGGGGTTGAAGGTGTCGCTCGGGTCATTGAGATGAGGTCTGCTTGAGGAACAGCTGGACTTAACACGCCATTAAAAGGTCAATGCTTGTTCAAGCTGCACCTGCAAACCCCCTCCCCACACCCGCAGTTCACCCCATCACCCTTCCTCTCGATAGTCCTCTCCTCTTTCTCACTGACAAGGTCCTCCATCTTTCTCCCCGGATGTCATTGCGAACAGTGTCTCTGTAATGCCTGCAGGCTGTGTTATGTCAGTCTAAGCTCTGTTTTTTGCTCTCAGTCTGAACAATGGAATGGGAAAACAAGATGGTAGCGTGTTGGGAGAGGCCAGTGCCACTCTGCCCAGCGTGGAAGACACACACACGCTCATAACAGGCAGCATATATGATATGTGCATGCATGACTGGGAAGGTGTGAAGGGAGATTCCACCAACTGGACTCAAATTACATATAAATATGGAAAGTGGTAAAGGGAGAGTTGCTAGTCTAACTCCTACACAACCAAAAACTGGCATTGTCTTGAAAGAGTGCACGAAAATAATGGTTCAATTCAAATGTATTGCACATAAAAGCTGAATTTAAAAAAGTTAAAAAAAATAAAAAAAAAATGCACATGTTGTGTACTTAAAAGTTTAATACAACAGAACTGCGCGCGTTCTGTGCAGAAATTGTTTAAAAAGTTGAAGCCACTCAAATTTATGCTGAATTTCAACATTGAATTCGGTGTCGCAGCGAAACATCTGCTCGTTTTGTGTAGGAGGATGCTGCTTTTCATTTTAAGATTTACAGAATACAGGGCAGAAATTCACATGTTAGCTTTGTAATTCTTACAGGTACTAACTAGAGTGGGAGTACATGAAGAAAATGCAAGAGAGTACATATTGGAAACTGTCGAGATACAGCTTTACTTTAACAGCCGGAGGAAGCCAATGTAGCCGACGGGCGAATTAGCATCAAACCGAATTCATCAAACATTGTCAAAAATACATGTCATAGGAACGTCATGTTAGCAAAACAAGTACACAATATTTTTTACCTGAGCACAACTTACCTCAAATCGGATTGATTATCCAAGTTTGTTGTCCAAAAACGGCGGCGTAGCAAGACTCTATCTTAGTGGTCCAAAGCAAGAGGTGACACCCCCTCCGAGTGGGAACCCAGAGAAATTAACACTTGCCAATTGTTCCAAGATACGTGTTGGGAATGTTTCAACCAGCAGTGTAGTACAGTCAATATTTACGGCTGCATTTAGAGTGGAAGAGGTTTGATGCAAATGCGTGAAAAATCGGCATCAAGGGGTTAAGTGGGGGTTGAATGATGAACTCATTTCAAAGTGACTTTTTGGGTGGGGCGGTGTTGAAAGCAGTTGGAATGAGCATTCTCTTCTTGTCTTTTGGCAGTGACACCAGTATACATTGCTTGAAATGTTTCTGAACAGATTTTGAACAGTATTTTTTTCTCTGGACAGTTACAACTTGTAGTTTCTTTAGCCCATTTAATCCAGTTTCTCATTTTGATTAGATGAAGAAAAAGCATTTTTTCAAATACAATTATCAATTGACCGACATGAGATACTTACATCGGGATACATTTTTTTTTGCCATATCACCCAGCCCGACTTTGACACAAGAAACACACTCTCAACCTAAAAAATATGACCCCAAAAATATTTTTAAAACTCCCGGTAATACAAACTACACTAAAATGCCCCCCCCCCCTCCCCAATAAAACTAAACCGAATAAAGACAACTTACCCACTTGGTGTGACTGGACTTTCAGTGAGGAGAGTAACCATGTTTCTTCACATCACTTGTGGAATTCACAAAAGCAGTTGTAGTTTTTGTTGAGGCACAGGTGAACATTCCACTTTGCACATTTGTATACAGTCTGACCCTGAGAAGTGGAAAATTTAAGGCGTTAAATGACCTTAAGATTGTGGCAAGAACAGTGCCCAAGTTGCCAATGTTATCAATGCGATTTTCTGTGACAAAAAAAGTCGTTCATGTTTAAAGTTTAATCCACTCAGTGCTCACCATTTTCGTGCTAGCAGTATCATGTCGTCATCCTTTCAGTGAGAAAAACGCTGATTTCAGGTAAAAACGTGTTCTTATCAGAATAGCACAAGAGTTCAGTGCATCTCATAAGCTATTTTTATAGAAAAAAAAGAGCCGTGTCTTCCAATATGGTGGCTGACCGTATGTGTCGAAGTAATTATTCTTAAAGTAAGCAGGTGGTGAGGTAAATAAGCGGATTGTCCAGGCGGAAAGTTTATTCTTTTTGAGCGCTACCTAGTGGTCTGGAGGCCAGATTAGTAAAAGAAGCTGGAAAAAAAATCACACACAAACACACGCGTACAGACACACGCAGCTAAATAAACCCCATATAATTAAGTGTCCGCTACTGTGTCACGTGTGTGTTTCAGTTTCACGACTTGACTTGACTTGAGAAAAATTGCTTCTGCTGTGTTTTTTCGCGAGCAAGGCTGCACAACTACATTTCCCAGAACAGACCGCGGTAATCTGACGTCATTTACATGCGCTAAACTGAGTTGGCCAAAAGCAGTCGGTACGTACATTTTTGGGGTGATGTCATTGTTGCTGTAGGTACAGGATAATAACATCTTAAGCCACAAATGACGCTCTATTACCATTTATTTCTAACCTGGTGGTTAATATTAGCATTAGTCGCCGTTTAGGAGTTCAAACCTCTAGTTCCGTCGCTATGTTAAAGCTAAGCTAGCCGTACACTCATCTATACCTGCCGTTTGCTTTCTCAGGTCGATTGCGTGTCCTGGTGTCATCATGACCAAACTTATGGAGTGGCTGTTCGGAATCTCGGTGGTGCTGGCCGCTTGGGTGCTGGTCGCGTTCGACCCGTTAGACTTGAGCGTCCCTCACACGTACCGGGAGGTGGCCTGGCCCATGCCGCTCTACCTGCTGGTGTCGTTCGGCTGCTACTCCCTGGCCACGGTGGGCTACCGGGTGGCCACGTTTAACGACTGCCAGGAGGCGGCCCGGGAGCTCCAGGGGCAAATCAAGGCAGCCAAGGAGGACTTGAGGAGTAAAGGCTTGAAGATGTGTAATTGACGGACAACCATCGTTATTTCGCGGTGGAGTGACTGGGAAGTGTACATCTTCAGACTTGCAGTCAACTATGGACTACACTCACACACACACACGAGTAAATAAACGTGTGTGTGTAATAAAAATAAATGAAGAAGCTAAATGGAAAAAGTCAGAATTCCATCATTCAATGGGCTTTTTGCTTTGATGAGTGCAAGAAATCAACTCTACAGCTGTTTGTCTGATGGCAAACCATTTTGCCAATGCTACAGGCAATGGCAAATGCCACGGACAGCTATTGAATATCATCTGTGTCGCTGTGGTAAAACTAAGCAACAGATGATCCTTTGTACGCACACTGTGGATAAACACATGTAGACAGATATAACGATACTCACAGGCGTATATCCTTTGCAAAGACTTACTGAGGCGTTTCGACCGTCTCCACATACAGTATGTCTGTACTGTTCTGCCTCCAGGTGGCCAAGGCAGAAGGAGCAGCAACGATGTCCCGTGAATTGAAGCAAAAATTGTTTCATTCTTTTTATTCCAAGTAACTAGGCCATTGTTGTATGGATACAATATTACAAAGTGTTATTTTTCTGATTAAAAACACATGACATAAAACCTTGGTTGGATTTTTAAAGGGGGACGAACGGATTCATGGCAATTTCTTTCAATGGGGAAATATGACTTAGGATACAATCGAGGTGAGCACAAAAGTAATCTGATGTATGATTGACAAATGGCTAATGGTACCCTGCAGTCACTATACGTCACTGGCATAGAAAGAGTCATTGTTTGTAATAAATACTGTAGATGGCGGACGTGGATAATTTCTTGTGACACGGTGGTTGGGAATCATTGCTCGAGAAGGACTATTGAAAAAACACATTATAACCGCTGTGCATTCTTGCTTGTCAAGTGTTCAACCGCACTTATGTTATGCGCGTATGGGTGCCCTGCGGTTCTGGCAGGAAGCTTGCTCCAATTAAAAGTCTATTTTTCGTCAATTGTTTTTCTTCACCCCAGGTATCTGCATCAGCACGTCTGCATGCGCCGTGTGCAGGTACAGGCTGTCTCCAAGCACAAATGTTCATGGAATGTTACACAATCGCGAAGGCTACTCCCAAAACGGAGTTTATAGCGACGTGCATCGTCATTGTTTCTCCGTTACTTTTAAGTTCAGGTCACCAAAACAATTGCATGGTTATACAATTTGACGTTTAATACATTTGTAAATATACTTACTCGCCAAAAACTGATAATTATAAAAGTCATCGATGTCGATTGACATCAGACGTTGCTCGGCTACAAGTATTGCTGCTTTTTAGCGAAGCATTATAACACAGCCGCTGTTCGATTCGTTAGCCTGTCAATGACGTTTCCCATTATCTGTGAGCATTAAGCTAGCCAACTTTGGGGCAAAGCTATGTGGTTGTTTTAGCTACACAATGTAGGAGAGTGGAGATATGATGGGTCACTTGCACAGTTTGGTATTTAAATCTTCAGCATTTCATTCTCTTTTGTTTTATGTCTTTACGGTAACCTTCACTGTGTCAAATTTAGAGGAAATGATGCGATCTGGTCCTGCTGCACAAACCCATGGAGCGTGGTTAACAGGATGAAACGTACATCATCTGGCAGTTTCCTGCTTTCCCACGCAGCCTTGGTGGGCCGTCGGAGGGAGAAAGTTAGCAGTATACAGTACGTAGCCGCGAGCTAATCTGATTCTGGCAATGAGCGCTTCTTTTGTGCGCAGCCCCCCCCCCCCCGTTGTGCGCGAACAAAAGGCGAGCCAGGGCCAAAGCCGTCATTACGGGCTCCCGTAACTTGGAAAATAAAAACGGTTGGCTATCACACACCAGCAGCACGACCATGTCCGAACTGTACTTCCCCTGCCCTCGCCAACCAAGCTGATGCTGTGGCAGACAGGGTGGAAGGCAACCGGTTATTTATCAGGCAAATATTCCACTGGCCATGGCACGAAAGGCCTTCGCAGACTCGAAATGGCATTGTCGATATTTCATCGGTGCGCTTTGTCATCACTATGAATGCATCCCACTTTGAAGACTTCGATCTGCTCTTTTTTTGTTTGTTTTTTTGACTAGCCTTTAAGCTTTGCAAATTCTACAAAAATAATACAACCGACACGATTCCCTCCAAGCATTTCTTTGTAAACTTCCACCGCGCAGTCATAAAACCTGCTCGAATGATTTTGTTTTAAAGCACACACACACATTGCCACTGTTCAGAGAGGCAACAAAGACAGAACTGAATTCCAAAAGAAATTAGTCGCGATCAGCTTTTTGTTCATATGTTAATCCTGTAAATCTGCCTCCACAAGAATTTACTAGGATTCGGTCCAAATCAGCACCCCCGGCCCCAAACAAACAAATTTATACTTATTTTGGGAGGGGGGGGGGGGTATTCTTTTAAAATCTTGTCATTAATCCTAATGACCTTTTATTAAAAATGTCTATGTGTGTCAAACTAACCCAGTATAGCGCCAACTACTGCCAAGGTGCACTTACTCGATGTCAGATCTATTTTTGCCTTAAATGTCCATTGAGTGGTATCGGCAGCCTCCAGTCGTACCTGATACCAGGTATTGGTCCGATAGCCGCCTTAAAGGATATTTCAGGTATCAGGTACTTCTGGAGGCTGTCGGTACCAGTCAGACATACTTAAGGCAGACTTAAAATAAATAAATCTGACATCGAGTAAGTCCACCTCAGCTGCAGTTGGCGCTATACAGGGTTAGTTTGACACATAGACAAATCATCATCTGCGCCAGATAGAAAGGTCTTTGTTCACTTTCTTTGTCATTGTGTTAAATAAATTATTAGAAGTACCAGTCCTCGAAATGGGTGAGTACTCAAATAGTGAAGAGTCACTCCGGTATCGGTCTGAATAAGCGGTTTGGAAAATGGATCGTTCATGACAAAGACCAGAAAGGTGATTGGACCGATCCCGGCAGTGGACCGAAGATGCCAGACGGGCCCACGTGATGGTGACATTTTTCGTAAGTGTCTCGATGACGTGGCTGCAATAAAATCCAAATGGACAGGTCAAGACAAAAAAAACTAAACAAAAAAAAAAAAACATCTCCGTTCAGTGCAGCCACTCGAAAGAGTGAAATGGTGTTGCTCTCCACTTTGAAAACACAGTGTGGCGGTGAGACTGCGGCACCGGCTTTTGCTGCTACAGCTGTCTTTGCTGTCACGGCCGTAAAAAGAACGGACGACGTGACAACACGACAGCGGTGACAAACAAGTGAGTGAGTGGCTAAAGGTCATGTTTGAGGTCAGACATTGGAGTGGCAAAAGCCAAACTTCTCTGAGGGAAACATTGTCACCAAGGGGTTAGTAACACGCCGAGCACTTGAGCAGACCTCCGCCAAGGCGACAATACAAAAGAGGAAATTCTTCCGGCTTCTTCTTTTCTCAATGAATTGCTTTTTCCTCTTTCTCCTGGTATAAAACAGAGTAGACAGTTGAGTGGACCCACAGTGATGATCCATCTCTAAAAATGGATTTTGTAAGCGTTACAAAAAAATTAAAAAAAATAAAAAGTAACATTTAAAATATTACAAATACACAAATGAAACCATAAAATGACTTGAAATTACAGTCAATGAAAAATATTGAAAACATCAAAAAGTAAATGAAACACAATTTCAAAGAGTTCCCGCAATCAAAAGACGACAAGAAATTCAAATTTAAACAAAGACATCCAACGGGAATATTTCAGAATGGAATAAATACAATTATTATTTTAAAAATGGTTCAAAAACACATTGAAAAATAATATGCGGTAGCTAAAATGTCAGACCTCATCAAGAAATGTGTATTTGAAGCAACATTTTCAATGCTTCTAGTTGGACCTCCAAATGATATTGATGATTTCGATTTGCACAATAAAAGTCACGATCATGATTTTCACCATTTTGAGGAAAATATCAAAATGTCGATTGTTACCATTCTTTACCTCCCTTACTTTATTCTGGTAAAATTTAAAATAAATATACATTTTCGCACGAAACATGAAAAAAAAAAGTCACAACGTATGGTTTTTTTTTGGTTTGACCCAAACTATTTCCTTTTATTCCACATGAAAATTTCACATTAGTCATATCAAACAAGTTTCTGAGTTTTATAGAATCTTTTATGTATTTACATATCATACATTAGTTTTACTTACACATGTACAAAAAGCTGTTTCAGTAAAAACAAACAAACAAAAAAACAACAAAAGACTGCAGTTGTCGTTAAACTGTTGTGCTTTGTCCTTTTGAGTCGGCTAAATAGACTGCGGTGGTAGTTCACGGGTTGATTTTGAGCCGCTTTGTCTTTTTTTTTTTCTTTTTTTTTTTTGGCGGCGGTGAGATGAGATTGAACAAACAGAAGAACCAGCCTCCCCGTGAGATACAAAAACACACATCAAGTCAGTGTTTGCTTTTGACACGAATCCATTTTGTCGCACAACTTCCCCCCTTTCAAACAACACACTCGCTCGCTCGCTCGCGGAACATACAGGAAAGCTCCCAATGCAATGTCATAAATTATCTTCACAGAACGTACAAAAGTTTTTCCGATGGCAATGTGTAATTGTGTGGTTGCCCTGACAACAGTCTGTCAATGCTACATTTGTAAGAAAAAAAAAATCCCCCCACAAAAAAAAAAAAAAAAATTGCTCCAATGCCACAGTTACGGAAAAAAACATCACCACACAAATAGAATGTAAAACTGGCAGGCGGGCAAATGTGGGAGGTTGGGTTTTTTTTTTTTTTTGTATTGGAGGTGGGAGTGGGGCGTCACAAGACGGCGGACGCGACCAATCTTTGGCTCCAAGGGCAGTCGGTTCAATTTGCTATTTGGTAGCATTTGTCCCAATTGCTTGTCCTGTTCATTCGCTCCAACACGAGTCCCATCTATTCTTTGTCCTCCCGACTCGCCCTGTGGCCAGCCACAGAGCTGAGCTCAGGCGGTCAATGGTTTCGTCCCCACAGACTGTCCCTTCATTGTGGTCCCACAAAAAAAAAAAAAAAACAGAGTTGTCTCAGAGCAGCAAGACCAATAGCGAGAATGGAACGAGCAACGACAGGACGGACTGCGACGTCGGCGCCGCCGAACTGGTCCGTACGCTCTTCCGCACCTCAGGGAGGCTGACCACCGGGTCGTCGGCTGCAAGATAGAAGAAGACCAGCAGGACGTTAGCATGCTGCGCTAGCTTTCGTGTGAAACGTCGGCATCATCATCGCGTCGACAAGTTGCATCTTCAAGAGTGACGTGGCCGCTTCAAAGCGTCTGACTTCCTGTTGAATTTCGGACATGAGTTCTGGAGACTTTTGGGTCAGCATACCTGCAGGCAGTCTGTTGGACGGGTTGTGAACCCCACCTCCGGCAACCACGACATCTCCGCTCTTGCCTCCTTTGGCCACCCTGGCCTCCTGTGAGCCTGAGATTCATGGACAGGGAAAAGCGGGGGGGGGAATCAATCAATTATCCCGCCATCCGAGAAGGCCGAGATGAAGCAATTGCGGGCATTCATTCTGACCGTCGGCCGCGACGACGTCCACCCTGAGCCGCAGGCACTCTTCACCGTGATGGTGTAAAGGTTTCGCTGCGGGGACGGTTGGGGATGGAGGGTGAAAAAACACACACACACACACACACACACATGCGTTAGCATCCCAACTAATGCACTTATCCTCTTCTGGCCTCTTAATCCATCGGTGCGTGCGTGCACACCGCGCACGGTCACACAGAGCTTTAGGAGGCCATCTGTGACGAGGCGGAGAGCGCCTTGCCCTGCCTCTTATCTAATTACAGCCGCCGTCGGGGCGACAACCCGACTCCGTGCGTGCGGTTACACTCGGGTGAGCCGACACCCCACTTTTGGGCTTAACGTAACAGCGACAAGTGGGATGTTTGGACTGTGGAGATAGCATCCAGTTAAGCTTACAAAAACTGGAGACTTTTTGAGGTTTGGAAGAGTCCCATCCAGAACCCAAATCTAAATTTGGATGGAAATGTGTGGGGTGTCCTGGAGGGGGGCTGCGCACTCGCACTCCGAGAGCTTTGGAGCAGGCTTTCAAGGAATACAGATAACCCAGCCCCCCCCCCCCCCCCAAGAAAACGCCCTCACACGTTGGCAGATTTGGAGCGTCCCCGGAAACATCGTCCACTTTTCATTTTTATCTAGACAACCCCGCCTATCTTTAAAACTCATCTTAAAACTTCATTTGTTGGCTTTTGAGTCAGTGTGAGACTTGATTTGGATCGGAATTCTTTTTTGCTGCGTGTACAGCACTTTGTAGACCGTGGTGGTTGCTTTAAAGTGCTCTAGAAATACAGCGGAGTTGAGGAGAAAAAACATTTTTTTGAATTTCTGTTGTGAAAAACGTTTCAAAATGATTTTGGAGGTTTGAATGTCCAAAAAAAAAAAAAAAATGAACAGAATTCACTTTCACAAACACAAAACGGCCCTTACAGATATAATAGTAGCTTCCTCCTTGGCGGAACTCCTTCCCGAGGGTGAACGGCGTGAAGCGCTGGAACTTTTCGGAGAACTTCTCGGGGCCGTGCGGCGCGAACGGGTGGCCGCACTCCCACCGCATCTGGTCGTACGACTGCGGCTTGCACGACTCGTAGTCTTCGCGCTCCACCATGTAGAGCACGTAGCGCTCGGCGTCCAGCAGCGGCACCTCGCCCTGTGGGTAATGGGGGCACACGATGTCCAGGTAGTCGTTGAGCCGCACCTCCACCGCGTAGTCGCTCCATCGAAACCTGGACAGCAACAGGGAGAACCATCGAATAACATCCAGCTTCAGGTCCGTCTACAAGTACGCTCTTTGTTCTCACGAGTAAGACAAATCGACCGGTATTTCCAAGTCACTTCACTCAAACAATGCTAGCGGGACAACGGCGTCGTACCCGTGACTTTTTTTAAACCCCCGAAGAAGCTCGCAATAGCAGCAAAGTACGTAGGATCATTAGGTATCAACACCATGCTTCTACCATGTACATAATCATACAGCAAGCCCGTGTTACATAAACCAATGTAGTAGTCAACCATTACCTTTAAATAAGAGTCGTCAAGAGTAGTTTTAGCTAGCATGCGTGCCTAAATAACATCAGATTAAATAACTAAATAACATGATCAGGTTCGTGCTCGAATCATGCTTTTGATACTTCTTTCGAACTTTACCGTGGCTCCAACTGTTGTGTGAGAATTGACCACCGGGGGCAGTATGGTACAGTCAAGACACAAATGAAGAGTTTCACACGTATTGTCAAATGTAAGCTGCAGACAGAGTTGCTGGTGTCCAGACATCCTTTGCTTAGACGAGAACAACACCGCCACATCGATGCGACTTTGTTTGCCTGATGTCTGAGCGTTAAGCTAGCATACCGTAGCATTCTAGTCGCCACCGAAGAAGCGTTAACCCGTTGTCAAGGTCCAAACACTCCACGTCTCCTGCCTCGCTCCCAACGGGGAAGGCGAGAGGACCAAGAGTCAGACCGTCTGCCTCCCCGCGACCCCTCCGCCCGCTTTTACGACGTCGACTCGGCTTCCTGCCTCAAAAGGAGTCGTCGCGTGGACCGCGCGTAAGGTAAAACCATTTTTGCTCGGGCCGCGAGAGCATTTAGCGGCGTGCCGCAGAGATCCGACGTGTTTATCTGCATGGATTTGTCACAGGAGGGATTTGGAGCTTCCTCCTTCGCGTTGACGGCGCTTTCCTCCCACGGCCCGTCATCTGTCAGTGGCGAGGAAGTGGAGCCTCGCGCTCTTCCCGGTGAGCCCCATCTCTCAACAGCCTCCGGCAGTAGCCGCCACCATTAACACACAATGAACCCCTCACATGCGCACGCCCCTCTCCACGCTCCCTTGTCGAGCAATTCCTCTCGGTTTACCGTCTTCCTACTGTACTGGATCACCAGGAGGTCCCCGAGGGTGGCGGGATTGGACAGACTTGAAATATTTACACGACACGCACCGGGAATGGGAAACCGAGATGGGTTTTTGTTGCTCTTGCGATGAATACGTGTGGGCCGGCTTGTCAACGCTCGGGCAGGAGGGCGATTGAATCACCTCTCGAGATCTGCAAGGGCTTTTTGGGGACTTGAATGAAGCGGGGGGGGGGGTTGTGGAAGCGAGAGCCCGAGAGAACATCTGATCCAGACCGCCGTCAAGTCTGAAAAGAAGCCTCAAATAAACTCTCGCAAAAGTCCAAGCTTCTATTGCTAGGAGGACCATATGGAAGTTTTCTGTTTCTCCCTAACTTTGATCTTTACCCTTCCAATCTTGACCTCTGTCGATGTCATATTTTTTTCATCATTCCTAAAGGGGTCCCTGAAATCTTCATTGCTTTACTATCTTTGTTACTTAGTTACAGCTACAATACCTAAATAACAGTACTTAAGTAACTAGTAACTTAGTGCCCAGTGCAGGTGACGTTTTATTGAAAGCCTGTCCAGTTATGAAGTTACACTCGGCTTTTCATGACAATGTATTTATTTTTTGCTTACTTTAGCGTTTTAGTAACTTCGTGACAGATGTGAAATTCTTACTGGTAACTTCGTCCCTAATAATCTGAAAACAAAAGTAACTGTAGCCAAGTAGCTGGTGCGGATTACGTTTCAAGTCATTCCAATGATTGAGCTGCAGTTACGTCACCGCAGTTACAAAATAGCCAAAGTAAAGAAGTTCTTGAATGTAGTAACTGCCATGAAGTCAATGTAACTCGGCAAGCAAGGTAGTAAAGCAAATTCAGCAAAAATGAAATGTCAGGAACAGTTAAAGTTTATGAAGAGGTACTTTTAAAGGTGTGTGCTGACCACCAGTTAACACGAGTTTGAATGTGGCGGGTTCATTCGAAAGATTGTCAAATTTGTCTTTGCCGTTCTTTCATGACAAGCAGCCACCCTTTCAGAAACATGCTTTTTCTTGCCTGATGTTTATTCTGTCCCTCTTGACCCTCGTACAATGTCCAAGGTGCCAGCCTTACGCAACACGCTCCAGATGCCTGGACGGGCCATCAAAACGCACACGGCTCCGATGTCTCGTGAGCTTGTATTTTTTTTTTTTGTTTAGTTGCCAGGGGTCTCCCGGGGGTGCCCCCTTGGCGAACAAGCACAGACGGTGTGGCTCCAACCGGCGCTCGGGGGATGGGATGGAGGGGGCAGGACTTACAATTCCTTCCAGCCGCTTGACTGTGCTCCCTTCACGCCCGATGACCAGATTAGCTGGCTGGAGACTCGGGCGAGTTGATGATAGGTGCAGCAAACTTAAGACGGGATGCTGTAATGATCTTTTTCACTTGGGCCTCGGCCTCCTCGCCACTTATCCGCCGCGCTCTGTTTACCCGATGGGAGTGTTTTGACCGCCGATGCTTTCAATCCCAGTTGAATCGATAACGCCATTGAGCAAACACTCTTGTCTGCTCTCCGCCTGACAAGGTTATCAAAACCCCCGCCCCGCCCCGCAGCCCCGCAAATGCCAAACACAAACAAACAAACCCCCCCTTCTTCCTTTGCCATGCCTGGTTTCCAACCGGCTGCAGCATGGTCCCAATGTGTTGGTCCAAAGAAGGGTGCAATTAAAAGACCAAAAAACAAAAAAAAAAAAAGCTCAACTTGTGTTTCTGTGTTCATGACCCATCGTGTCACTCCGGAGTCGCCCAAACGCTTCCAGTCAATGCTG